GTGTATCTCACCGACGTACACGCCGTAACACACACATATATATATGTATATATGAGAGAGAGAGAGAGAGAGCCGCGATACGACTACCCGACTACCGGAGGTATACGGCGGAAGAAGGCATCGACCTGCGGCTTTTATGAAGATAACATCTCTGCTTATGAAGCATAGCTTATCCACCGGCCCGCCATAGATCTTTCAGCGGGTACGGAAGACCTCCCCTTCGCCCTCGTCTGTATAACCAACCACCGCCAGACCTTCCATAATCCATTATAGTTTCTAAAACGGCCCGCAGCCACCGGAAAACGCGCGTGGCTCGGCAAGAAGCTGTTTACGCCACCGACGCCGAAAATTCGGGAAACACACGTGCGTCCGTATCATCCCCCATACCGGCTGCGAGAGGCTACGGAGAGGGTGGCCACCCACCCTCGATGATTTACTCACTCGTGCGAACCGCTACTTGTTCCCGATGTTTTTCGCCCGGTGTCGTTGATTGCACCGTGTGACCAGGGTGCAACACACCGCGAGGAACTCTGCGATGAACCATTGCTTTTGTGCGACGGGCTTTTACCTATCTGCATTCGCCAAATTGCGTATCCTAAAGTGATGGAGAATTTTATCATTTTTTGTTTTCATTTCATAACGACGCGCCTCTATGTTTTTGACATATCAAGCGACTGTGTTAATTTTGTTTCATGGAAACTTCCAAGTAGAAATTTTTATATTTTTTAACTTGGATAAACTACGCTTAATTAAAATTATATTAGTTATACTGATTTTATTAGTATTGATAAAAAATTATAAAACATGTATGTAAGAATTCTTATTGCATCAGACGTATGAAATAACTAAAGATACGTTGAAAGAAGTTTTAGAAAACTGCGTAAAGTTTTGTGAATTCCGCGATCTCTAAGGAATTAAAAAAGAAATTTTCATAGCAGTAACACTTGAAAACACACTTTGAAACTTTTGTAAAGTATCGATAGCACTAAAGTCTTGACATATCTTGGAAGTCTTCAAACTTTCTAAAGATCTGAGAATTTATAGCTGCATGAGCACATTTAGAAAATCTCTCGTGTGAACAAAAGGGTTTCGAAATCGATAATTTTGAAACTATCGGAAATAGCGAAAAGCAAAAGAACGGTCTAAAACTTTAAAGATTTTTAACAATTTTTGTTATTATTAACTTAAATAATGTTTAGTAAGATATATTTTATTTGAATAATTAACATATTTTTAATGGTACAAGATATATTCAAAATCCATGGATCTGTTCTTTTGCGTTTCTGCTCATTAAAACGCGCAATTATTTTTTCCTATTGATTTTATAATTAATGCTTTATTTATAACATGTTGTATATATATACATACATATTTATTATATTATATTTAATATGTATACAATTATATTTAAATAATGCATTGAATGAAATAATATGAGAAATATAATAATAAAATAGTTTTCTTTATTACACAAATTCTGTAAATATTTAATAATATTTGATATTTATTATTAAATATTTTTAATAACACAATTACATGAAAATATTTTAGAATAATATTTCAGAAAGCAAAAATCATTATCATTAATATGCTACTATTTTATCTTCACCTTTACTTGATACAAGAGTTGACGTTTGAACACAACATGAAATATCTTAAAAGACATTTATGAATTTCAAAGTGTGCATTCATCATTAAACTTAAACATACAGGCATCAAGGTTAGGTGCTTTGACTTACAATTAGTGATTTGGTTCTCAAATTAGGAAATGTGAGAAAATTTCAAAGGCGACGCGAGAATATCTAAAAGAATGACTAAAAGAAAAAATGATTTGCATCATAAAAAGCTTATTTTTATATTCAATTTTTAACTGCATCTATATGATAAATATATTTTTAATAAAAAGTAAGAGGAAAGATATAAAATCTTTATGTATATTTGGTTTTTACATTATTTCAATATATTCTATTATTTTATAAAAATTCGTATTAAAACAGTTAATGGGATTTTAAAAATATGAAACACAGGCTAGATTAATATGTTTGGGAACCTCTGTTCTCTCTGTGGCAAAACTCTATTTCCAATTTCCCCAAGTACCCTTCACAACACGTTGCAGCTCAACGTAATGTGTAAGCAGCGCGGCTCCAGCATTAAATGGTCATTTCTTTCTCTTTTCGCAACGCTACACCCATCAAACCGCATTCCTCGAGAAAGTTGCAGCGCGCATCATATATGCGGCCAAGCAGTAGTACACGTCGGGATTATCTGCGAGCACGTTAATGAAAAGACGTCCGTCCGTTTGCAAATTCAGCATACGCCGCGATGAGACCGGCAGGAAGGATGACGTTTTAAGAGGCATAGAGAAACGCGCGTCGACTTCCGATGATTAATGTGACGTTATATTGTCCATTACGTACGCATAAACCACGGGCATGCGGGTACCGCGTTTTACAGAACTTATAATAATAAAGGACAAACTTTAATAGGGACGAATAAGTGTCGAGCGAGCAGAGAGATGCCTTTCTAGTATAAATATCAAGATGTCTGGTTGGAAACTTGCTCTCCATAAATAAGATCAAAAATATTATGTCTAGAAAATATCTACTATTGTTGAGAAATTTAATATTATTCATATCATATCGTTTTTTGAGAAAAGGTCTTTCTTCGCAAATGATAAATTATTTGAGAATTTATTATGATTCTCTAATCTAACATTAAGATAATCTACTGCTGCTATCTAACACATTAAGAATCTGCTTCATAATAATACACTGTATTAATTTCGATGAAGTAAAGTTGATACGTATGATTAAAAAGTTCTTCTCTCTTGCTTCTCCATCACCAGATATAAAGTCATCTTTCATTTGATGAAAAATGTTCGTGGCAGTTGCGTGCTAATCTCGACGTGATCATATTCTTCCGAGCCTTCGGTTGCAATGAGATTAAGTGTGAAACGACTATGAAGAAATCGTGATGAAGGCAGCGAGAAGAGACTCGCCTGGCTTCATCGGATGCTTCACATACGCGTATATCTTCCCGGCTACAAGTTTCCGCATGTATACATATATGATTCCATCACACACCGCTTCATTCTCGTTTTCTCGCGGATCGTGGCAAGGGAGAGGGAATGTGATAAATGCTCCGACACTGACATTAGAAAAATATATTCTCGTTTCTTCGATGCCCTGGCAACCCCTTATCTCCCTGGCTCGAGTCAGACTCTTCTTCTGAGAAATGGTTCGTTAAAAAAAAAAAAAAAAAAAAAAAAAAAGGGACCAGTCGGATTTTACGTTGGCTATTTACGTCTATTTCGTCTTAACGATCTTAAGATTGACTGCACTGGCAACATAGTATAAGCGCGAGCATCGAAAACAAGATTATATATACGCGCTACATACATAGAAAAATATACAGGGAGAGACACACAAACTTCTGGATTACAGTACATAATATCTTTAATGGTTCATTTTTTATACAGTGTATACAAATGCATTAGTAAGTACAGAGAAGGAAATAAGAACGAAAATAATTCGTAGTTTCTCGCATCATCATTAAAGTACAATCGTGTGCAATCTGTTCCGCGTTCATGAGTTTGATTTAAAACTCGTTCTGTTATAAATAGAGAGCGAAAGTTCGTTTTCGCAACGAAAACAACGAAACCTTTTTTCCAGCCGGCTGATACATTGAGACAATTTACGTACAATTGTTCTCGCGTACATTCTGTTTAAACAGAGTATGTCTCCGACTCTACTGTTGACATTGTCAAGATAATATCTCTCTCTCAAATTATTAGAATAGAATGGCTTAAGCTACGTATGCACGCGGGTGCCTCGGGTGTGTTAAAAAAAAATATTTATAAAGAAATTATTGCATTTATAAAAAACTAAACATATTGGCTAATGAATACGGAATTTTGTTATTAGTAAATTTTACGAACTTTTGCGCTCTATTATATAATTATGATCACTTTTTAATGCAATACATTATTTGTAATATATTATATTTACAATAATATCTTTAATAAAGATATTATATATATATATATATATAAATATAATATATTGTATTATATAAAGATAATATTTAATTAATATAATATATTTATAATATTTTTGTATTCTAATTATATAATTGTATAAAATATAAAATCTTAATTCTATTTATAATTTCTCAGTTTAATGGATTTGCCTTGCTGAAACATCAAAGTAATGTTACACGACGTATAAAATGGCATAAATTAGAATTTTTTCATCACAGTCATTATATCGCTGATATAGGTATTAATTTTAATTTGTTCTTTTAATTCAATTCGCAATTAATAGTAGACACACGTTGTATTATATCAGGATACGTAAATCTAATATCTACTTTAGCTATATATAAAGATTGTTATCCATTCTCTCTCTCTTTCTCGTCGGATCGATTTTATTCGAGATTAATTGAAACATTTTATTAAATAATCTATTTTTGTAGAAAACACACCAGTTTCACACACACACTCACAAAATCTGAATAACAAACACAGTAGAAATAAAATATTAAGCTCTCATGTCATGTGCAAATACCACGCTCTTCAAGTACGTATGCCTGTAATCACACGATATATAACAGGGTATGAAAAGCGTAGTTATTTATGTGAAAGCATCGACAAATCTTCGGAAAATATCGTGCTACATTCTCGAAACAAGAACGACGATAATCGTTTTGATGATTCGTCCCGCGAATATGCAATATTATAATAACAACTTGACCAACATATTATACATATGCGTTTTTTCTCTATTATTAATTAGATTATAAAGATTTGAGTATGTAACATGCACTAGTTATATATATATATATATTTTTCTATAAAAAATGCTTAAATCAGGACATTTTTTTATTTTTAACTTTTATCGCGCATTTAATAGTGGGAACACTTATACAGGATGTTATATAACATTCTTTTTCTTTTTAATTAAATATTTGGACAAAAAATCTTAAATTAAAATATTCTTTTAGAACAAAATTCATGAAACATTTTATAATTTTTACGTTTGTTTGTTTCTATGTAACAAAAATTTCTATTGGATTTTTAAGTACTTATAAATCAGAATCGATAGTTTCAATTAAATAAACAGAATTATACTGTTAATTTGTTATTACAGGATTATAGTTCATTTATTTAAGTAATTTTTCAAATTAATTAGTTGAGATTTTAATATTTGTAATATGAAAAATATATTAGAACATCCTGTACATTATGAGGGATTAGCTGTATAAAATCTGTTTTATATATATATTTTTCAAGATTTACCTTTTTCTTAAAAATAAATAGATCATTTCTTTTAACAAACGGCAGTCAGAGTCATTTAAAATGTCGGAAATATGCAAATATAGAATATTATATGAAACGGTGTCGTATATCATGGCTGAGAGAGCACTGCTTCTTTTTAATCCATTCTGAACCGTGAAATTATTCCACGAATGGTCACGTGTTTCACGACGCCCGTATTAAGTAAAATTCGCAGTTTGCAAGTAAAATATCCCGTGTCGGACATAACTTTTGTAAAAGTTCATAAAAATAGTCTCATTTCTTAAGTGCTGTTGCATACGTGATTATTACAGACTAGAGCGTGCCTCTAATACGAAAAGATGCAGTCGCTGAATAATTTAAAAATCAAGTTCACTACCGATTCTAAGAACTTGATTGCTTGGATGACCACAAGCGCATGTAATACCAAAATGAGTATCTCTATCTTATACATATGTTGCAACCTTTCCATCATTGCAAAGTAAATACGTCGCCAGGCTCGAGTACTGAATTCGCACAGTCTTTCCATCGTGTGATGCAGCTTAACGTGTTCGCTACATAATCTCTCTGAAAATATCAATAGATTATAATTATAATTCTTGAATAAAAAATGAATTCTCTCGATTAATTAACTATATAATAATATTTATGTACACTATTTTTTCAACATATATATGTACACTATATGTACATATATATGTACATATTTTCTAAAATTAATTGCGATTGACATTGGTTGTATGGCTTATAATATATATCTATTATACAAAGTGTATTATAAAAAAATGATGCTAAAATTTTCTCTATATACTATACATTTTATTTCAGTGTAATATAATATATTTTTTTAATTTATACTTTTCTCGAATAATAATTCTGTGTTTCAGGTATACAAACATAAATCATATCTAATACTATAAATTGCAATATTACTATATATAAAAAATACATATTAAAATTTTTAAAATAATTTACATTAAAAAATATATTAAAAAATAGAGAAATATGTACATATATGTATATTACCTGTATTAATGTGAATTTCTTCTTCCGGTGGAGGTAAGTACTTGTTCAGCATAATCTCAGCAAAATCAGTAGTATTATCGACAGTCTTTAAAATATTGATGCCGGTTTCAGTTGACATAACTTTGTCTGCTTGTTGCCAACTGTAAACGCGTAAATAATGAACTTTGTAATACGTAAGTAAAGTCATAACTCTCACTCTTTGCTTGGTTTCCTGTTTTAGATCAATAAAAGTTTTAACCGCGGGACGGAAACGTTTTGATACGATAGATTTGGTACGATCTAAAATCTGCAAAAAAAGAATATACAGAATAAAATGTGGATTATTGTTGGCAATGTATTGTAAATAAAAAAACATACCTGTTTAGGTTCTTCTTTGATTATAGGCAGCTTTACTTCAACAAAATCAATACCTTGGCATAATGTTTTATCCAGAGTATAAATTGGTTTCTCCATTAATTTAGCGACTGGCAAAGACTTTTCTATCATTATATTTACCACATTTTCAACAGTATCAAAGGCCCAGTTTAAAAATGTATTTGTGCCTTTTACACGTTCATACACCTCTGTCGATTTATCCCACAAATAATTCACGCTTGGTATTTTACGTGCACGATCGACAGCTTGAATTCGGTAAAATTGATCTGGGAGTTCTGTTTCCATGGCTGTCATCAAACCAAGATCTCTTTTTCATGGATAAAAATAGTTTCTCTCCCTCTGACAGCAAGTCTGTAATCAAACATATGAAATTTTTGAATAAAAAATATATTATCAAAGAGGGTTCAGGTATATGAACATAAAAGAAAAATCGCACTTCCGTAAATCCGTTCCTATATGTCATACATAACAAAAGTATATCTAATATTTTCATATCTTTTTTCTATAGTTTTCAACATTTTCTATGTTTAAATCATTCTCAAATAAAAATTTTATATTTTTTTATAAATTTTTCTTTTAATACTATAATTTTAATATAGCAAGAAACATATAATATAAGAATAATAAATTTAATTTAACTATTTAAAATAAAGTCCTTAATTTTAAAAAATAAGAGAAAATATAAAAAAACATGAGCACTGAAAGTCTTATTGTTTATGTTTAGTTTTATTTTAAAATTTTATTTTTCGTTTTTGATGTATATCTACAAAGAGCTATATAATACATTACATATTACATTAAAAACAATGATTTACAAAATGGAGAACAGTTCGCGTGTTTACGTGTATAAAATTGCTGAATTGTTGTAGTCACAATGAAAACACTTACTATTAACGTTGCATCATAATGCATATATCATTATGACATTACTCCAACACGATAACTCAGCAATAACTCGCGGCCATCCGTTAAAACGTTCCACTCGATGCTTATACGAATTGAAATTCAAGCAAGACATGCACAGTCAGTTTGCCAAAGAGAAAGAGAAAACAAAGAAGGACATTTAAACACGCATACACCCATACCGAGCGAAAATAATATCACGACGTGATTGGAGCACAAAGCATCAGCGAGAAATGCGCGCGGCTTACTACGTCTCATTGTTGCGCGTCCGATCGATGACAACGTGCGATGGTAACGTGGGAGCCAGTTATAGAAACGTACATATGTCCTCAAGATCAATGTCACGGGCGCGAATTGACAGGTGATTCGGCCGACATAGCTCAACAAAGGAAAACCGATCGGTTGACACTTACCTGACTAACAATCACTGCGAATGGACGCGAGCTTCCCTTTAAGCTGCCCTATGGCTTTGTAATGTACCCTCCTTGCCCTTCTCTCACCCTCTCGCTATCTCTTTCTCTCTCTCTCAAACACTGCAGCTGTTGTACCTTGATCTCTGATTCATTTCGCCATGAAATTTGTTTACTCCGATCGAGCGCGAATACGATTATTTATACACTTTTACACAAGCGAGATCTGCTTGCTCGCTGTCATTTTTCACCATCCGATATCGAGTTGAGATGCTGTTCTCTACCACAAGATCACGCCGCTGCTGTCAAGTTTCTCGATATGGTTTCACTTCGGAGCGATCGTACGTCGGTAAACTGACGACTGAAACAGGCTCTACAAAGGCATTTATTGATCCAACTGGTCCCTTGAGGCAAAATAGGAGCAAAATTCAATCTTTTCAAGCGTTTTTATTGTATTCACAAATTTAACGGTTTTTATTTATTTTTAATTCAGAGAAAGCATGGACCTTAAAAATATTATTTGACTTTTCATGATTTAAACTAATATTGTTTTATTGGAAACCATTCTCTGTAAAGTAAATATATATGAAAAGTTACAATGTTCAAATTCTAATCTTCTTTAAATATTTTTAAATGTTATAATTCGACTATTTTCATTGTCATTCTATGATCAACCTAATATTTAAATTAAGAATTTTCCTCTAAATTTTTTATTTAAAATTATCCTCCAAAGAATTATCTTATTCTTGATTTTGTTTACGAAAAAGCTTGATTTCTCTTCAATATTTGTTAATCTCGGTTGAATTCTTTGATTTAATTTCTTTTAGATTAAATAAAATAAAATACATATATAGACTTTTGTTTCAAAATTATATTTTAGATAATATAATTATAATATACCAGAATATTTTATAAAATATATATGTGCCTTTCTTTATTATGCTTGTAACAGTCTTTTTTACTATGATATGTTTCGTGGTGCTTAAATTACATTTATACATTTTGCGTATCAATAACATTAACCAATAACATTAAATTTTCATTTCTCGTAAAACAGTTCCAAATCAGCGAAATGTCGCAATTTACATCGATATAAAAATTTTTACATAAAAATGTTAATAAGGCAACTATAAGACTTATTCTTGATCACAGAATCATGTGATTTTTACGTATATTATAGAATATAAAAACATGTATAGAAATAGTCAAAAAAGCTAACAATATCAACCCATTCATCACAAAGTTCCAATATTGAAATATTGTCCATGCAGATCATTTTTTTCGTGCTTTAGTGCATTTTACATTTTTAATGTAACTCCTCTTTATAAAAGAAATATTGAAAAAATTTTAAATAAATGTATGTAGGTATACATGTGATACATTAAATTTTTGAAAAATTTGCACGTTATTTGATCTCTCATACGTTTCTCTAAATATTCGAAAACACTACGGTGCGTAACGAATGAATGAACATAAATTATACATCAAATTGAACCCAGGAATGAATAAAGAACTTTGAGATTATTTCTTCTCCTCATCTTGTTTCTCTGTCGGACTATTTGTCTGCTTGTCATCCGTTTGTTTCTGCCCAAGATTTAAAAAGTGCGTTAGATGAAGAATTGACACTACGCTAGATATGTATGTCGCCACGTCTTCCTTCTTCACTGTCCTTAGTTGCGCAGAAACGGAATGATAAACGCGATTAGCAGTTTTTGTCGACAGCTGACCGATTGTTTGCACCGCGTGGAGCACTTTATTCTCATCCGCCGAGACTGGAGCTGCAAAATAATCATTATTGTCATTATCGTCATTAGAAGCTATACCAATCTTAATAAAGTTCAATAGAGCGCAAAAGAGCTTACGAAATTTCTAACAACATACTTGGTGCATTTTCCTCTCCTTCTACCGGCGGGAAGTAGTGATCTAATAAACGATTGACAAGTACGCTGGTGTTGTCAATGCCTTGTACAGCCATGTTACCACATTGTGTGTTTAGGAGCTCGTTCGCCTTAGCTATACTGATCTCTTTCAGCGTAGACGCCTGTTGCGTGGCTGACTCCTTTGCCACGTTCAATTTTTCAATGGTTGGCTGCAAGGAGCTGTTCATAACCGCCTTTGCAGCGTCGTAAATCTGCAAATATGAATGTCATACTTTTAGTGATTTATTTCATAATTATATAATTCTATATTTAAATTAAAAATTCTTTTATACAAATTCAGTCTATATATTTTATTATTCAAATATATTTATCTATTTGTTCTCTTGTTTTCATTAATCTTTTCAAAAAGATTTTAAAAATTACAAATATTACACTTTAATTAAAAAAGATTATTTTATCAAATAAATATGAGAATCTACAATGAATTGAAACTCGAACTGTGCAGCTGTCAAACGTTCTGTCATTCGAGAATTAAAAGAGAGGGCAAGTTTCCTTTAACGCTACCTGCTGCGGTGGTTTCTTTACGATCGGAACTTTTTGTTCGACAATGTCTAACCCCTGGCATAGCTTCTGGTCGACGGCGTTGATCTGTCCTTCGAATTTCTTAGCTAAAGGGACTGTAAGCGGCGCCGCCGTAGCAGTTGCATAATGCAATCCTGCCTCGGCAGAGCTCAACGCCCAATTTATCAAATGATGGGAATCCTTAACGTAGGAATACGTAGAGCCCGTCTTCTCGATCGCCGAATGAACCACCGGAATATTTTTCACCCGGTCTATTACTTCAAGACGAGGAGCGGAATTTGGCATGGCTTTATTTGCGTCCGCCATTCTCTCTGCAAAACAAACAACATATGTCAAATCGGTTTTCAGATTTTTAGATCGCTGGTTTAAAAAATGACATATATCAAACTTATAAGAAGGTTTGATAACAAATAAGTAATCACATTAAATTTTATTTGTTATTAATCCAATATATATGGGAAATAATTTGAAGATTACGTGTCTCTTCAAAATCATTTGTTTTGAAGTTTGATACATCATTTTTTAATGAACATAGATGATTTAATAACAATAAAATAATATAAAAATTAAAATTATATGTAACGGAACCATATATAATGCTCCATATGTGCTCCGAATTTCATTACGTAAACTAATTATAAGTATGCAAATCTAAATTAGACCTATAGAATATAGAGTTATACGCTATATTTTTTTTTAATTATACGCATATCTATAAAAATAATTTTTTTTAATTATACTTTATATCTTTAAAAATAATTTTAAGTAAATAGTTTTAAATAATGGTAATTATGTTTGTCATGTAAAAGTACATTTTAAGATATGAATATTTCCATCAAAAATACGCATGAGACTTCGTACTTTCGGTAACTGATGAGTCAAACTTATTACTTAACTTGTTATCTATAATATGAGTCAGACGTGTACTTTGGTACTCTTACCGATATAACAGGAAATAACATTTATTCCATGTTTTTTAATGTGCTCACTCTATATGCGTGCAATCGGCGAATTAATTAAAAAACGAATTTAATCGGTGCGCAGAAAATCTATTGCAACACACATTGACAATTATATCTAGTTTGGTGTCTCATACATATTTATCAACATACATGTGCAAAACAATGTTGCAAAGAAAAATTGCATAGTGTCGAAAAAAGAAATGATTGCAAACGAAATCAAGTGCTTCCAATTTTACTACGCGAACTAATGTACTCAACTCATCATGAGATTATGCGTGTAATACATGATTCATCCGCTAGAACAAACGAGAAAATAATAATTAACTCTTATTCCGCGTTTATATTAATTGCTACTGCATGAAGTAACATTTTTTCCATATTTGCGCACCGCACACTTTTTCTTGAATTAATTATTTGAGATATATTTTTCAAAAAATTTGATTGCATCTTTTTTATAATATAATACTTTAATTTTAAACTTAATTTTATTAATTTTTTTCTTCTTACTGTTATAATATTATTTTAAGAGAATAAAAGAATCTCTCTTAGGGCCGATTTTTCCAAATTCTTGATAAGTTTTACCTGACAGATAGCATATCTTCGTCTCTTTTTTTAGAATTTATCTGAAAAGAGACGAAGATATGCTATCTGCCAGGTATAAAATTACCAAAAAGTTGGAAAAATCAGCCCTTGGATTATTTAAAATTCTGTTAAATTAAATATGTATTCTTTTTTTTACATACATGCTATCTGTTATCGAGCAAGAATGTACAATTTTTATGCAATAACTTATATGCATGAAATTTATGCATACGATGCAATTTTATTTAAAAATTAATTTATTTATACTAGGTAATCATTTTAGATATAGCGCGATTTATCTGCAATATTAACTTTATTGCTAATTTTATATCTAAGAATAATTTATATGCATACAGACTTCTCCTTACGCAAGAAGATTATCGATGTGTGACACATTAATTAATATGTATAACAATAATGTAATTATATTAAAATATTCACTACTCATTTTAAATACCATAAAAATCATGTGTCAATATATTTATACTACTGCTCTACTCATTAAGTTAAATTAACATAGAATCGTCTATTTAAAGCAATAATTTAAAAAATAATAAGCTAAAAAATGTGATATAATAATGACGTTATTTTTTATAGCAAAATTAATTATTTTTTATATGCTGTTATATGAAAAAACAGTTTTAGCCCAGCGTATATATATCTTATAAATTTAAAGATAAATATTAATGCTACTTTCTCGTTTTATATTGTATTATACTTACATTTGTGGATGATTTGTTGAAAAAAATTTATTGATCACTAAAGTCAGTTGTGAAACACCGATTTACATGAGACACCGGATAAGACTGGCGTTATATCGATGTGAGAACTCGTAAGTATCATCAGGTAGAGGGGACCAAAGCAGTAACGTCGATATCAAATGTCCTTTGAACTTTTTTTTTTTTATTTTTTTTTTTACATTAATTTTTTTAGTTTTTATAAAACCTTATAAATTATAAGAAAAATATTATTGTAGAATAATATTACATTGAGTTTAATATAAAATTTTTTAAAATACATTTAACACAACTTCTGTGAAACTTATCATTTTTTCTTGTAACTTTTTTTGATATTCTAGATTCTAATTTAATGATTACATATTTTGAGGGTAATACTTAGGATTATTTAATTATATTTATCTAATATTTTCTCTTTGCCATTATGTATCTTTTACTTATATAATTCCTTAGCATTTTTGTTAAGAAATTAAAGACGTAATTAATTTTATTTTATTACTAAATAACATGTTTATTTAAATGAGAAATGCCTTTTAAAGTATTATTTAACCCTTTTCTTTTATAATACGTATTATATATTACGCATTATTACATCATGCTGTTCCCTCGATTTCATCATAACAGTTCATTCAATGCTTTTATAGTTGGGTTCCGAGTGAGGTGTGTACGTCCGTGATTTCATGTGTGCTTCTGCGCAGTAAGAAGGAATATCCCACAACATTCATGACGTGGCGGTCACACAACATTCTTACTTATATCCTATAAATACAATACATGTGAAAACCAAGTGAATAGCCGACTGAGTTGACCCTACGGAGAATTATGAGTGAAAATCACAACTCACGACACTGTACAATGTACGAGACTGACGCAATTTCTTTTTATTTAATGTTACTTGGAGATATTTGCATTGTCACACTTTTCTTTTGAAATAGAAATTTTATTATATGCGATAACATAAATAAAACATTTAATTATAATGAATGTATAAAATTTGTTTTTAATGGGAAAATAATATTGCATTATAATAACTATATAAAAATAATTTAAAGCTCTATTACGTCTCTGTTTTTATCCTATGACAAGAAATAATTCAAATTACAAAGCTAAAGCTTCTTGTTGTAATTTCAATAAATAAAGAAATTAGAAGAGATTAAAGAAAACAATAAAAAGTATATGTACATATTATATATACATATATAAAATATTATTCATTTTAAATATCAAATTTATTATTTCGAAACTTAATTTAGTCTCAACAAAATAGTATATTGTGTATCAAGTGCGGAAAGTTGACAATTGGTCACGAGTACGGGGGATGGACGCACGAGCCGAAGGCGAGCCACTTTGCCTGCACGTGTAATACAAAATAAATACTTTGTTATAAAAAATATAATTTAAATTGTATTAATAAAATAAATTACTATAAATTAATTTTATCGAATAAATATATTGATTAAGAACGTAAATAAGTACACAAATTTTTATTGCAAGTATACATTATTTATTTTACATACATATAATGTTTATTGAACAAAATACAAAGTTGATATACAAAATACGCATCAATATTTGTATTTAAAATAAAATATTCTTATTCTAACGTTATGCAAAGTAATAACAGTTATGTGTATGAAAATTTTTTGAGCAATTGTTGGAAAATCATTATGCAGTAAATCAACCAATCTCAGTATATTGTTCCGAACGTCTGGCTCCGTATGTGTAATAATATATATATATTATAAATATAAATATTAAACAAAAATGCATAAAATACATTGTAGTTTTATTTATACATCGAAATACAAATATAATTATTATTTAAATATTTTTCGCCGCAAACATTTTACTGATATTTTTATATAATAAGTTAATAAATGATGTAAAAAGCATACATATATTATTATATCAAATCATAATAATTATATTAAACTGTCTGCAAAGACAGAATATCGTTTAAATGCTTTATTTTGACTAATATTATTGGAAACAGTCTCCAAAGTTTATCGTATTCGTACATCTTTGATTATACAATACTTATTTATTCGCACTGCATGTATATGGGTTAAAAATTATATACAAAATATATAAATATAAAACTTATCTATATAACTTTATATCTTATATCTTACAATTACATTTTATCAAGTTTTATATTCATGGGACAATGTAGGCCAATGTGCATGTGTTAATGATCAATGACACAGATTATTTTAATTAGCATTTTAATTTCTACCGCAATATCGAAAGAATAGCAATTAGCACATATCGACGTAGATCGTAGAAGATAATAACATATAATTATAAAGAATAAATATAAGCGTTATTTAGTTTCAGTATATAAGTATATATCAGTATAAATGAAATTAATTTTTAGAACATAAAATCATACATAAAGAAGATCTGAAAAAAATAAAAAATCAACATGATTTAAAATCAAAGTTATTCGCTTTTTTTCTTATCGCTTTGTGATTCTTCCGTTTCCGTTTTAGTTTCCGTTTTGGTTTCCGTTTTGGTTTCCGTTTTTGTTTCCGGTTTTTCCGGTTTTTTTTCATTATTTTCTTGCTGTTTTTCCTTATTAACTGTATAGAGATACTTCGTCAATCGAAGAAATTCGACTACATTGCTAATGTAGGCTTTCAACAAACCATCTTTGTTGTTGGTATTCAAATGATATATTATATTTAAGTACACACGTCGAGCAGCTTTATTAGATAGGTGACCCAGTGTTTGCAAAGTATGTAACAATTTGTCCTCGTCTTGTGTGTTTATGTCTGCGAATACAGATATAAAAATAAAATTAATATTTAGGAAAATAATAAAATATAGAGATTTACATTATAAAACTAATTTGAATAGACATTCTGCTACATATTTAGCGCTAATCGGAATTGTTTAAAGTTTTGAATTTTTTTGATTAATTTATATTAAAAATATGATAAATACAAGAAAACATAACTTATATAAATTGCAAATAAAATATAGAAATTATAGATAGCTAGAAAACGTCAGCTATAAAATTCAAATCTTAATAATTAATTATGTAGAGGAATAAGATTTGCTAAAATTTATTGTTGAGTAGCACAGAACATTTTATGTATAAAAAAATTATTAAATTTAAATTAGAAAACAGTAGTACAATGAATAATAGATTATGACACGACTATAAACTCTTAGTGGTGTTAGTAGCTTTCACTAACTTTCTCGCTGATGCGCAAAGACTTTCATTACATTGTAATTTTATTATAGATTGTAATATTCTAATATATATGAAAAAATGTCTGAAGAGTTGTATGTATGTATTTGCAATCTATTATTCAACATTTTACATATTTCAATTTTAAATTATCGATAAACGAAAAATGTACGCAATTTACCTCTTGGCTTTTCTTTTTCTATTGCGGGGAAATATCTGTCAATGAGCTTATCCACAACAACAGCAGTATTATCCAAACCTTTTACAGCCACGTTGCCATAGTGTGTATCGAGAATTTGATTGGCTTTGTTCCAGCTAATATCTCGTAAATTCGTCGCTTGTGCAACAATTAAATCATTTACATTCGAAATGCTTAATACCGCCTTCTTATAAATCTGAAGAAATATATTGAATATGTTTATAGATATAAATAATATATTTTTAGTTTTATTTTTGTGACAGTATCCCGAAAAAAATTTAGAAAAAAACATATTTAGATGATGTAAAAACAAACCTGCTCAGGTCTTTCCTTCACTATCGGTACTTTTTCTTCGATCTTGTCGAGACTTAAACACAACGTGTAATCGACAAAATTTATAGGACTCTGAAGAAACCTCTTCGCAGCAACTAACACGTTAATAGGTATTACTTGTTTCGTTGCGAAATTAAGGGATGTTTCAGCAGTGGTGAGTGCCCAATGCACCAGCTGATTCGAGTCTTTTATCCTGGAATAAGTCTCCGCGGATTTGACGAGTGCCGAATCGACGATGGGTAATTCTATGACACGATGGAAGGCCTTGAGATCAAGAAGCTGTGCCACTTCTGTCGCCATGCTTTCTCGCGCGAGAAGCTATCATACGAAAAATATTTATTTAGATAAGTTTTACCTTTTATAAAGGTGATTTATAAGCATATTGATAACATTTCGAGAAAATGTTTGCGTCAAGTTAATACATTCCACTCTAACATGTATTTGAGAAAAAAATTAATTTTAGAATATTCTAAATGATTTAGAGTAAAGAAGAGAAATTTCTAACTCTACGTGCAAATACTTATATTGCTATATGTACATTCGGCGAACGTCAATACTCGCAACTTGATTAATGATCATTCTTCAAAACTTTCTCGAACTCTCTTTAAAAGCGTTTCTCCAATCTTTTCTTTCGCGTTTCACATAATTATATTATAAATATATATAATTTTAATTTATATATTTTAATAAATATAATGTACGCGAATTGAATTGCTGTGCAATATAATATTGAACAAGATAATAAGATTTGAAACGATTTGTGAATCTCTACGACAGCATTGAAAATAAAATTCCTGAACTGATCCTTCATAATACAATAAACGGAAATGTAAACAGAATGTTTGAATGCCGATAACAAATATTTCGGAATTTGACACAATATCCTTCATATCGACACGAGCCATCCAATATAGCTATATAAATTGTCGGGTTGCAAATATTGTATTTATAATTATTTTAATAAAATTTTAATTGTATTTTTCATTAACTATTGTTAATTACTCTTTTAATTAGATCGTAGTAAGTCTTTTAATTAGATTTTACATTTATATTTATATATAAATTTCTTTAAACAGGAAACAATTTTAATACTTCATATATCACATTAAAAATTAAAGAATTATGAGGCAATAAAATTGGATTGAATTTTTCGTAAATTTTGCGCGTTCAAAAATAGAATAAAGAATTTATATGCGAATAGCGTAATAATAATTCCGTAGTAATAATATGTTAAAGAATAATGTAGCTCTTTACAAGTTACATACAAGAGTATTTCCGATAACGTCTAAGTACACGTAATTAAAACACAATTTCATAAATTTTAATTTACAATTTTTCATAGATCCGAGAGTTTTATTTGAAAATATTTTTAACTGATAGGAAATAAAATTTTGATAATCGAGAGATTAAAAGTCTTATTAAAGATTACTGCCAAAAATGGTACTTACAGATTGGAGTAACTGAAGTACAGACTGGGACGTCGAATGTAGTAGTTCACCGGCGTAGCTCTCGAACGCGTCTGATACTTGCTTGGGTACGAATGCTGTCGCCGGTCACGGACACTGAACACTTATAATGTGGAGAATCGCTTGCGCAGTGAACGCAGTTTGAATGAGCCAATAACTGACTGATGAGCAAAGTACGACATATGTCACTACCCGGTTCGTACGACGGAGCTTTTCATGAGAACAGATTCTTTTTTGAAATCTTCAAATGCGTTGTCATCCTATTTTAAAGAAGCGACAACCGTTTTTTAAAGACTAATAAAAAGTTTGCAGTGATATTGCCTCTTATTTTATTTTAATAATAAAATTCTTTTTTTCTTCGTTCTCCAATTATATAACTCCAATTTCTATTATCGTTCCCAATATTAATAAAATGTTACAGCCACATATATGTGGTATATTTCAAATAAAATAATATAGGTGTTTTTAATAAAATTGTTTCGAAATTTTTATTATATATAATTATAGAAAGATTCTCTTTTTTTAATTATTTATTAGATAACATACTTTCAACCTTAATTTTTCATCGCATACAATTGCACCATTCGATCGTAGTTAGATGATACAACACTTTTTTTAAAACAAGTAATGCGCAATACGCAGGTCAATTAATAAATAATGTATTAGTCAATTGAAAGTAAAATTTATAAAAAGTTGATATTTCTTCACCTGTATTATATCTGCAATGTATGTATGCAGCATTAATATTAAATAACTTAAACTAAAGTAAAATATATATTTTTTGAATAATCAGCAAAAATAAATTTAATATATTTTTATATCTAAATATATATTATAATTTTTTTATTTGCATAAATTTTTGAACACGCAAAATTTATAAAAAATTTAATCCAATTTTATTTTCTTATAATTCTTCAATTTTTAATGTGATATATGAAATATTAAAATTGTTTTCTGTTTAAAGAAATGTATATATAAATACAATATAAGAATAAACAGTATAAGAAATAATTGATGCGTCTTTAAACCTGTAACACGTAATAATGTTAAATTTTCTCCCGTTATGCTTTTCCTTGCTTTTATGTAACATAAGTGCATTTTTCCGTATGTAGTGACATGAAGAAAAGATGAGGTTTTTTAACGTCCGTGTCTACAGTCACTTGTATATCTTTACTGTACAAAGTCCATTTCAACTACATCGTGAGAATATGCCTGTGTTATCATGACTGGTGCAATTGTCACATAGACACATAAAATGATTTCAGAATTATCAGAAAAATTCACATCCGCATTTTAATAATTGTAAGAATATATAGGCTCGACGAAAAGAATATTCTCTTTCAAATTGTAAATTTCTGAAATATTTTACTTGAAATTATGATTTAATATTTTATTATTAATATGATCATGAATATATTATATAATATACAATTAAAAATTCTATTTTTTGTTTTAAATTTTAATAAATGTAATTGTTAATAAAACTATAAGTATAATTTTTGAAAAATTTATACATTAAAGATATCTAAATTATCTTATTATTCAATATATAAATAACACAATCTAAATCAAAAACTCATATAATTTAAATGTAGAAGCAGTATTATATTATTTTAATAATATTTAGCAATTTCTTTTAGAAAGTTTTTCATGATAGTAAGAAATAATTATTGACGCCAATTTTTCGTATAGATTATAATAAAAATTATAAAGGTATATAATTTATCAAGGTATTTGTTTATATATTAACATTTTTTTAAAATTATATAACAAAATTTAATATAGAAAAATAATCAGTAAAAATCATCAATTCTTCATAAATTTAGAAATTAATATTATTATTAATGTATGTTTATATGTTTGTATTATTATTGAACTATGATCAAAATATTATTCCCTGCGTGAGCCAATTCAAGGTTTAAATATTTGTCCGCTATCTTTTTATTTGTAAAATATTCGTCATCAATAATTTCGGAATAAGAAATTATCTAAAGTTGTCATCATTCTTATAACTAACTTTATAGATTGAATTCCAAAGTTTATAAATACAGTTTGTCTAGACAGCACGACTTACATAGATAAGCTTTTATTGCGTGATACATCAAGTACCGCAAATATATATAATTTTTTACATTTTGCTCGCCTACTTCAATTATTTAGGTCGATTTTCTAGAATCTACTTTTGTTGTAAATGTAAGTTATGCAAATTTATAAATGTTATAGTACATTATTATTATTACATAATTAGATATTTTTAATATATTTTAGCATTTTATAGCAAAATATTTAAAACATATTAAAATATTCAAGAGAAAAACTTTTTGTATACAAAATACGTATATACAAATCTCTCTTAACAATATATTCTGCACAGATATTATCAAAATATTTTTATACGTACATATGTGTATTATTATTATATTATAGAATAATTATATAACGTATATAAAGTATATTCTACAAATTATATGTGCTACATATTATATAATATGTGCTTCCTGTTAATATTAATATAATATTATTTAATTGAAATTATCAATGATACTTAATTAAAAAATCGTATCAAATATTATTTTCTGAAATTAATATATATCGATATAATAATTGTAATAGCAGATTTTCGAACAATCGGCGTTTCATCTATCGATGTACATTGATAATATGCATTTGCAAATTACTTGAGCAACAGAAGATCAAGATAAACATTCTACAAGTACTTTCTCCACTTTCACTATTGAAAGAAATCTAAACAGTATAGTAAAAACACGCAGCATATACTGGTGTGTATTTGTGTGAATATCTCGGAACCTGAATGTTAAAATCTATGATTTAATCACTGTACAAAAAAATAATGCTATTATGTATTCGTATTCTAATCTAAATTATAACGTGGACTCAATAATTTGATAATTTGATTGTGCACTTTTTTTTTTAATATTAAACTAACTGAACAAAATAAAAAAATGAAAGTTATTCGCATAACCGTAGATAAAAAATGTATATAAATTGATTTTTAAAAAGTATTATTTAGAATCTATAAAACCTGTTTAATTAACTTTTTATTTTCCTAACAAGTAATGAAATATTTCTTTATCATTTTAAATGCTTAAAAGAATAAATATAGGAGAGAAAAAGTAGCAGATTGCGTAAGATTATGGATAATTAAGAGATGGCACTTTTTATTTGGTCATTTATACTTAATTATAGTAGAAACACTGCTAATGTGCTATTAGCTAATATTTAAAGAGAAGCACAGTACAAGTATAGCTCGGATATATTATGTTAGTGCTAAGATATATTTTGGTACATTAAATGCATAGAAATGCAAAAACTTCACATATAGAAATGTAAAAATAATGATGTAATCACAATTGATGGAACATTATGTTAATCAGCGAGCAGCGGCTCGGCGCGATTTCTATTCTCGTGTCTTTAACCTTGTAATTGAAGACCTTACCGGAAGAAAACCGCACGTAGCAGTTTTCAGACGAGACTCGCTCGTTACTCGATACCATTTACTGGGGGATTGGAAGTCACCGACATGTGGTTGTTGTGGTTCTGTTGGTTTCGCACGTGTGAACCCTTCTGAGGGCTGGGACGACCAGCCAAGAGCGCAGCTAATTTTTCCTAGAAATAGAGAAAAATAAATTTGTCTACATCGAAAGACCACGATTTTTAAGAATTCTTTGTTTGTCGATGTAAGTTAGGAGATAAAATATAATTTTTTCACATTTGAAAAAATATTATGCGTAAGCATTTTCAAACCCTTATATTAATTAATTAATTAATTAGTTAAAAATAAATTTATAAATATATCAGTATTATATAATATTGATATACGTACCAAGAATAGATTCGCTGTTAAGCTCAATCTCTCAATAGCAGAGCGCATGACGGATACTTCTTTTGTTACAGTGTTTTTATTGATAAGTGATGTCATCTGAAAAATAACATGTATAATATAAAGTTGCTTCAGTTATATTGTACTAAGATATACTGTTTAGATTTATTATACAATACTTTAAGTATACGCGTTATTCTTCAGTATGGACACGCAGTTGAAAGACAATAACATGACTTTTTTACGCGCGCACACTACATGATATGATATAATTAATTGAGTTACGCAAGCGCGTTGATTTAAATCAAATCAGTAAAATTGATGTAACCTTCAACGAGGCGTCGGCGACGGCAAGTAGTTGATGAGAAAGCCGGACGAGTAGACGACCTAAACGTCGCGGGGTTCTAATCGCCAATGCCGCTGTGCCATTCACCAGATGCACTATGCGTCTTGCGGACTCGCGTGTCAAAAGTACCAACAGCTGTTCGAGCGTGGTCGGACGTGCCTGATTTTCGGGCTCGGGTAGACTCAACTTGGACCACAACTCCTTGGCCTTTTGTAGTGCCAATTTTGGGTCTGTGGCTATCTACATGCATATTACAAACGACAAATTGTTACTCAATATTCGTTTATAGATGACCTTACGTTATAATAAGCGAGTGTTCCGTAGGATATAGATATCGAGACAACCAAGATCACGAGAACATCAATGGTCATTGCATGGAAAATATTTATGATGAGACAAGCTCTCATGACGATGTTCTATAGATGTAAATATTTACTATATGATCACTCAACGTGTTCATGGTTTCATTGGGTATATGTATGTCTACCTCAGCATTTCTGTTTATCAACGGTTTTATATTTTCAGATTTTTCAGAATTTTCAAACATTTATTTTAGAAAATGATTCCTAAGTTATAAGATTTTAAAAAGTATGGAAGGCAAAATTTGAATAGTCTGGCTTCTATTTTTTTAAACACAAATTTTGTACTATGTAATCATATTTATCAAAATAATTTTGAAAATTTTTTTCTTTAATTTAGAATTAAATTATTCTAAAAATATAAGAAAATTTAGCTTGATTAGAAAATCAGTATGACTGTCAAGTATCATTGATTTTATGTTTATCATTTTTCGGGTGCTATCAAAAGATATAAATTACTTACTTAATTGACACTTCTGTCTTCAATATGACTGTCGCGGCAATATTTCTACGAGTCAGCAATTAGTATAGTATAAACAATATTTTTGTAATCGCGACTCTAGCAAATATATGTGATTAAAGTTCAGTTATATTACTAAACAACGCAATATATAACGTACACATTAAAAATTAATTATCACGTAATAACATTATATAACATTATCAAATATTTTGTAATTTATAATTTATCATTTATAACATTACCAAATAATTATCAAATATTTTTAGATATGTAAATTCCGCAATTTCTAATTATTATTACAGTAATAAACAAGTAAATAAATCGATTGAATATCGATTGAAAATCGACTCTTACCAATTCGGCCACATATAGAAGTACATGAATACATTCCGTTCCTTGCTCTTTAAGAGCACGTGCTTCGACCAAAGTGCGTTGTGTCAATCTTTTTTGGAGTTTACGTGAAAATCTTGCGCCATGCTTAATGGTTCGTGTCGTTTTGCTCACTTCAATGAGACCAGTGACTTCTGAAAAATCCATTGTCAAATCGCTATTGCATACTTTTATCCAATTCTACAGACAAGCAACAAGAGCGCAAAACATAATTTCTAGATTATAACACATATGTAAAATTTTGTAAAATTTTAGCTATCTATATATTTAGGCGTATATATGTTATAGTATATAAAAATTTACCGTCGTTTTTATCGATTGATTCTCCTGGCAAATAACGATCTACATACTTGTCCGCAACTGTCAGTGCATCATCCAATCTATCCGCGGCGACGTTGGCAGCTTGACTGCCAATTAGTTTAACACTTCCGGCACGCTTCAGGACCGGCTTTACAATATTCTCATTTACATATTCTCGCGTGTTCAAATACATCTTAAGCACGAAACATGAAATAAAAAACGTGCGATAAATTAATTCGAGATTAATTGACTTGTGTTAGAATTACTCATCATCATTTCTTCAACTGACTCCTGCGAAATTTATTACAGAATTTACTTGCCCTTTATCGATCATGTATAATTGAATATCGCAATCTTTTTATTTCTTAATATATATATACTTTTTGTTCAAGTTTACTTAAGTCTTTTTTACATTAATAACGATAAACAATATAATAAATAAATAAATTGATTATTTACTGATATAAATATATATTTATATTTGATTTATATCTCTCCTTATATAAATATATATATACCTCTACAGATGTATATCGCATATTAAAAAATTGTGAAAGGAATTTGTAAACTTACGAGATAGGGAGGAAGATGTACGGCTGGTACTCTCTGTTCAACAATGTCAATACCTTTGCACAACAGCTGATCAATTGTTGTAATTGGCCCATTGAATGCAAAAATCGCTGGCCTTGCCGTCATCGTTGCAATCGCTAATGACTGCTCTGCAGCATCCAAACTCCAATTCATTAAAGAATTTGAGCGCTATAATAAAAAAAACGATGTTCTAGCTAAGTTTAAAAAAAGATATGTTTTATATTTACTATTATCTATATATTTTATATTTTGTTACTTTAAGTCATTTTTTGAGAAAAAAGTTTTGTATTTTATTTGAATTTTTTAAGGCAAAATTTATTCAGTCTTTTTATAGTGATACCATCCTAAACAACATCACGTCTAAAAACGGGACATAACATGTTTTAAAGATATCTTATTGACGTTATCTCTTATATCCCGTTATTAACGGGACATAAGATATCTTAAAGATATATTTTATTATAATGTTTAAAATACATTTTAATGACTCTTTTAAGACGTCTTATGTCCCGATTTTAGACGGTCTGAGATATAAATAATTGTTTGTTACATGTCATCTAATTTTTAACTGCATATACCTTTATTTTTCTATACACATTACCAGCAATGTGTATACCACTTTCAACGAGTGGAAGATTCGAAATCCTGGTAACAGATTCAAAATGCGGCATATCCGAATGCCGCCTTCTCACGTTTGTTCGAGCCATATGGAGAATAATCGCTGCAAATTAACAATTAATGCCAGTAAACAGGCAAAGAAAATTAATAATGCAAAGTGCTTGGTAAACAAGCAAAGAAAATTAATAATGCGCATAATCTCTTTAATTTGAGAATAATTAGTATATAATTAGTACGCGCTTTATACGCATATATCATGCATATATTTCAGCTATTTAATTATTTATTATATGTATACATGCATGTGTTATAAAAAATTATTGTAACATTTTTTAATGTTTTTTAATTACGTATATATAAAACTTGTAGATCATTACTCAAGATCATTTTCCAACAATATTCTCTTACTTCTTAGATCTTTATCAAGTTTTATCTATATACAAACTTGAGAGAAGCGTTATAATTTTTTTATCTTCTTATCTTGTTTAAAAACAATGGAATCAAAACAAATAAAAAATAATTTATAGCATTATTAACTTATTTAATATTCGAACTATCAAATTATATAATATTTTCTCAATAATAAATTCTTATTAAAATAATGCATAGCATATATTAAGATAACAATTTGCATTACGAAAAAGAGTCAATAATCAACTTTGATATTTTTAGATAATCGACTATTACATGCCTCTTTTAAAAGTAAATCAATTGCGATATTTTTACGGTTTACTAAATTATATAAAATAAAGGCCAATCTCACACACACATATATAATATGTATATATTGTATATTTCTCTTCGCATTTAGTACATTTAATTCATGTTGACGCTTCGTCTCGATAAATAATAATCTGTTATCTCTCTTTTTTCTTCTTTAACTCGCTCAAAATTGTAAATTTTATATTTACGGTCTAATGTTATTGTGACCAATAAAGAATGGATTATCGCTAAAACACCAGTCCGTTGAAAAAACACGTGTTTTATTTGCTAAACGTAAACGGAGCCATATGTCACTTTAAAAAAACGACTTGCTCAACATCGGAGAACCGATAAGGAAGGTCATACTGGGAGGAGGATAGTGAAAGAAGATTTTGTTTCATGGTAATATCAAGGCTATATACACACCTCTATTTCACGCATCAAACTCTCTTAACTGAATTGAAAGGAATAAATGCTAAATTGAAACGATTTATTGATAGCTGCGCAAGACAAGAAAAAATTAGCCAAACTCGTTAGCAAGATTCAAACGGAACTTTTGGTACGGTGTATATGGAACTACTTTCACCTAGAATTACCATCTTAGCTATTATATTCTGAGAATGATATGTTGAGGATGAAACTATCTCCGGTGAAATCTGCAAGTGATTAACACGACATGCTTTCCCGCAAAGGTCATATTTCATTCCTATGCACATGCAACATCACGATTGGGAGTGTTATATAAATTTTATTTGTAACTCCTTATTTTTAAAAATAGGTGCGTCATATCGCATTTTAAATTTAATTTAAAATACGATCCGAAACTCTTGTTATTCTTTTTATCTTTTGGAACAGATATGCTATATGCTGTTATCTTCGATATTAAATTTTAATCTAATCCATCATATAAGTATATGTGTATATTATCGATTTATTGATCTGGAATGATTGATTAAGATTAAAATAATAGCTAAGCGACGCGAAAAATACAATTGAGTTACTCTCATTCATTATCTCCCATTTCTTTTTTTCTCTCGACTGCTCGCACTTAATAGTACGCTAATATATATTAATTTCACTATAGTATACTAAATCGTACGAATGTTTTTTTTTGCTCTTCTTTTGTCGTTTCAACTAAATAATCAGTTATGCAATCATATTCAAATATGTACGGATACACACACACTTGTGCAGACACAAATATATATGAAAAAAACACGTCTATAAAAAAATCTTGAACCCACACAAATCTGGAATAGATTCGGATCGACAGAGATCGCCAAACGTGATTAAGCATTCTTACCTGAAGACAGAGCGAGCTAAAGCTGCGAAGAGTGCAATTTGAAGATTTTTGTGATTATCGTATAATGCAGTTAATCTCACGACTTCGATAGTCAACGAGACGGCAGAAAACTCGGCGTTTCGACCAAAGAACGCGCCGTTGACTGCACGTCGAGAACTGCAAATGATATCTCATCGACTTGACCTGTGACATATCGATTATATATGGACGCGACGGACGCAATGACGCACAAATAAAAAAAAATATTCTAGCTTCTCTCTGTCATCTCTTAGAGACGAGTTTTTGCGTGATGCGACAACTTAGATTATTTTTCTAGATAGAGCATAAATGTAACAGGTGTTTTTTTCTCAGGAAATTATGATTTATTTGAAAAAGATATTCAAATATATTAATTAGATTAAAAATTAAGACAAGTGTTGCGTATAAAATTTTTTTTTAAACAAATATTCACTGAAAATGTTGTAGCTTACTACTGCACTTCTCTTCTCTGCAATAATTCCTAATTCAATAAATTAAAAAATTAATTAAAAAATTAAGAGCACTTATATTCTTTTATATCAGCATTTATTATATTTTTCTTAATAGCTTCCGAGAGCTACAATACAATCATTATTGTTCACCTTATCAATCAAGTATTGCGCCATACATTACTGACAACGATATTTTAGGTATATTCGTAAAACAACGGCATATATCTTCAATTGGATACGTAAATAAATCTTTAATTCGATTTATCGTACATTCTAAAATGTACAATATAAATCTACTAATAGGATTAATAATAGTATTGTATACACTAACTGCATATGTCTTACTTTATATATCATGACGGCAAATTTTAAATGAACATTGGACATGCAGATTATTCCAAGAAACTTAATGAGCTCATGAAAATTATTAACAAGAATATTAATAAGAGAAAAGAAATTACAGAAAATTTGAAATTATCACTCACAGACGCTTTAATTGCTATGCAAAGTCCACGTCGTACACTTCTATCTCTATAAAGATGCTTTAATATGAACATATATTTTGCTAGTTTATATTTATCTTGATTGTGAGTTTCACTTGTTTTATTATGTCTACGTTATTTTCTGTTATTTAATTATTAATTATTTCCTTATTGTTAGATTCAAAGTGAATAGGAGTCAAACTCTCATAGAAAAAAATTGCTTAAATATCATAAATCTTTTCACCATCATCAGAAATCAAAACATGTCGACAACACGTCAATATCTTTTTCGGAACTTCTATCTGTCATCTTCAATGATTATGTGAAAGAAAAAGCTGTTCTCGTAAGAAAATAAATGGTTAAAAGTATGACGTGAATTATGAGAATTTAAAAGGTCGAATTAATAAAATTGTCTATTCTATTATTTATTGAGAATAAATATCACTGAACAACTCTAAACTCAACTAATTGATTTGACTAATGTCAACCAGAAAATTGTCGGTTTATTTTTAGAAATTGTTAAAGTTACTTATCAATTAGCGATCATTATATATAATTTTCGTGATGGTTTTAATATTCATATATAATAAATTAAGATCTAATAATTAATTTGTTCTAAATGTCAATTCTTGTAATTTTAACACGTCTGTGTATACTTATATTTTTGAGATCTTTTGGGGGGGAAGACATTAACGCTCTACTTATATATATATATATATATATATATCGCAATATATATATATATATATTAAGATCTAATAATTAATTGTTCTAAATGTCAATTCTTGTAATTTTAACACGTCTGTGTATACTTATATTTTTGAGATCTTTTGGGGGGGAAGACATTAACGCTCTACTTATATATATATATATATAAGTAGAGCGTTAATGTCTTCCCCCCCAAAAGATCTCAAAAATATAAGTATACACAGACGTGTTAAAATTACAAGAATTGACATTTAGAACAAATTAATTATTAGATCTTAATTTATATATATATATATATATATATATATATATATATATATGCTTTTGAATAGATTATCAATTTTCGAAAAAAAATATATAATAAAATGTCAATACAATTAAGTACAAATATTATATAATATATTTTAATAACATAATATCAGAATCACTTAAATCATAAAATTAGCAAAAATTATTTACAGCAAAAGATAGTTAGCCTTCCATTAATTATTTACCTATCAATATTTTATGAAACATTGTTAAATTGCGTATTTCTTTTATAATAAGGTTGCCTATTTATATAATAATAATTGGTCAAATTAGAAGCCAATAAAAAAGCAATAAATAACCTGATCAATTGACTGAGATATTAACACGGTTGATACTACGATACTTGATTCTAGATTCTTACATCATATTTGACATGCTCCATTCAAAGCTCGCTAAAGTACAATATATAGGAAGAGTTTATTGGTTTGTGTCACGTGTAGCACGAGAGTTTTTTCCTGCTCAACGAGCGTGCAAGTGCGAGACGATGGTGAACATATACATGTTAATAGGTTGAGAGGTTGAAAATGCATTGTTCAAACAGCTTTTCTCATCCATAGGCGTATGCATTATCTCTTGTATGATTTGTTTGCAATTAAACCACTGCAACATTAGTCCAACAAATTGTTAATTAAAAAAAAAGTTTTGTTATCATTACTTTTATATTTATTTCTATGTGTTATCCTACTTATGTAGAATTACTCTGATGTTTAATTTGGAAAAAAATTATAAAGTGTAAAACCTCTGCATTATTTTCCAGGGCCTAACATTTTTCTCCACTTTTACTTTAAAATTATTTATGATATATATTCTTAATAATCGAAGATATTATATAGATATAATATTTTATATATGAATTTAAGAGTGTAAAAAAAGGTAAAAAATAAATGTGAACAAAATGAACGTCGACGACATTTTACTATTATATATATACATACATGGTGGTTATATAGATCCACATTAAGAATAAGCAATAAGAAACCATTTAGCAGTATTATATAAAACGTCATATGCAACGTTTAATATTCGTTCCAATCAGCGCCAATAAAGGAGAAAATAACGAATACGTTACAAATGCACGCGACGTATTTTATCCCGCACGTGATGATTCTCTTCGCGAATATATAAAAATTCCTGAATCCCCGGAATGGGGTGGCATATTTCGTGCGAACGTTGCGTTTAACGTATGGAATCGCGCGCGATAAATATCTTTGCAATATCTACAGAAACATGGTATGTGTTTCTGCGGCTTGCCAAAAATATCGTAAAATTACGTAACGCGTGACTAGACCGGTAACGCAGGACATTAATGCTCTTTAACGTTTTTTTACGACAAAACTATTATACATTTCTGGTTAAGAGCGCGCGTTCCTCCGCGATAAATAGCACCGCGATACCGATCAATTTTGCAATCGAATCCGAAACCTAGAAGGTTAAAGCAAAATATACCTGAAGATCAAATAAATCGATATATCTAGAGAGAAGAGTGAGGATATTTTTATCTTTTGGATATTAATATTTATGAAGATGCACGAAGTCAAGGTACAGGAGGTCCTCCAGGACGAGCAGTGCTTCGAAATAATTCGCAAGAAGCTGCGACAGGATGCGATTGACGACTTCTCTCTAATCAACTACGAGATCGTGCCGATTAATGAGGTAAACGGCTTTATGGGTCAATACTTTACCTTGAAAGCCACCGTGGCTTGTCCAAAGTCGCCGCTAGAAACGAAGAGCATCAATTTCTTCACGAAAATACCTCCACCGATCAGCAGTCCGCTGTACGACTTTGCTCAGGAGTACGGTACGTTCAAGAAGGAAGTGGCTCTCTATACCACCGTATTTCCGGAGATACTGAACGGTCTCGACAAGAGATGCATCCCGGAATGCTTCCTCGGGATCGAGAACGATGTAATCGTTCTCGAGGACATGGCTCACAGCGGTTATACGATGACTGATAAGTCCACGCCTTTCGACTTGGAGCACTGCGAAATCCTGATGAAGACCCTCGCCAAGTTCCACGCAAAGTCCTTCATCTTTGAACAACAGTACAAGAAAACCTTGCATGATGAATTCGCCCACTGCATGCAGGAAACTCTCTGGCCTGCGGATGCCAGAGCAAAATCGATGTTCGACGCCGCCGTAAAAGGCATCGTCTCGATGATCGATTTACTGCCTGGATTGAACGACGATCAACGCGATAATTTCAAGGAAAAGCTCGTGAAACTATGCGCGGATCACATGGGCAACCTGTCACCATCGGCGAAGCACAAGAATGTGCTATGCCACGGTGATCTATGGGCGAACAATATATTATTTAAATACAATACCGATAAGAAACCTATTGAATGCTGCCTCGTCGATTTCCAACTGGTAAGGTAAGTGTGTGTAATTTTTTTTTTTACAAATATGTCATATATAATTAAAGGAATAAATATATTTGCATGTGACAGAAAACGAGCGATTCATATCTATTGTTTTTTTTTTTATTTCAATGCAGGTACAATCCACCAGCACACGATATATTGTGCTTTCTTCAATTCACGACAACGCGAAAGCTACGAGATAAACATGATGAATCGCTTTTTAGAACCTATTACGATTCCATGACGATCGTCATGAAGGAAGCTGGTCTGAGCATATCAGAAATCTTTCCTTGGGACGAATTCATGGAATCTATCCGAGATTTACGCATTACATGCATCATTCACGGTATTCTCAATACACCGATCATGCTGCTAGAACCTGACGCGGTCACTAAATATTTTTGCGAGAAACTGGAGCTCCTCGAGAACTTTCTCTTTGTTGATAGAACGCCATTCATTTGCGGACAATTTAAGGAAGCACCGGAATATCGTGCCCGAATGATAGACGGCTTGTTAGAGTTGTACGATTACATAATCGATTACAATCACGCGACGCAAAATCGAACCGTAACGAGACAGTAAGATACTTTGTCGTCAAATATTGTCACCGAGTTTGTGACAAGTTGCAGAGTTGATATAATTTAAGTTCGATCAAGGTCTTGATACCAGTAGTTCTTCAATAATGATGTAAATTTGTATCTTTTGTCGTCAGTATTTCGAACAAGTATGATAAACTATTATGTGATATAGGATGGTATGTATGCAATACAAATGCAATCATTATGCTTAATTTTCGACAATAGAATACTTATTTCTTTGAATATGTCAAAATTATAATAATTATATATAAGTCGTATAATTAATTATGCAGAAATTATATGACAATTTTATAGAAGAACATTGTCGAAATATGTTTACGTGTGATAACTAGCTTTTTTCATAGCTGATAACACAGCTGTTGATTTAAGTTAATGATTTTTATATGGATGTGATAATATAAACATTCTTCAGAATCTATCTAATCTTACATTGTAAGATAATCTATTTGTAGTACAATATTTAAAAACCTTTCTAGCATTATGTATTATTAAAGAGAGAGAAGTTTCGAGATATACTTATACTTTATTAAAAAATTAATGCAAGAATCTATGTATAGTTAAAGGAGCTTAAATTATATATATGTATATAAGTACGTGAAATAATATGGATTTATGAAATATGTTGAGAAAATCATTGATAATTCAAAATAACACGAGTTATTAATAAGTTTACATAATTCTGTTACATGAGTATTTATTTTGAATATAAAATGATGTAATAATTAATAGTTATTATATACTAGTAATTTTTGTTTATATGTAGTAATAACTTTTTGTAATAATGCGCTCTATATATAATTAAGGAATTTTTTTAAATAGATTCTAGTAACAATAAGTTAAATATATCTTTAATAGCGGCTTATTATGTTTCTTCCTTCTTTAAAAAGTCTTGTTTATTTTAATTATTATCTTATCGATCACAAACAAGGTATATACATATATTCACATACTCTTAAATGTAGACAAATTAGATTGCACGTGATATTAACAATACTGTGATATTTCTAAAATATAATTGTGCGATTGTTAATGACTGTAGAATAGTATTAAGTTCTTAATATAAATAGTTAATAGACATGAAATAATATATCTTGTACTTACCCTTATACCCACTTGTAACGTAAAAAGTTGATTACGAACTTAAAAAATTTGTCATAAAATATAAAAATATATTGGAGCATAAAAAATATAACTCAAAGTATCAATTTTCTATACAGATTATTAAAAATTTTATTGCAAATCGAGCTTCTATGGTGACTTAAATATTAAAAAAATCTTTACAGATAATATATAAAGAATATATATCAAACTTTTCCAATATCATTAACACAGAACATTCTAATAGATATTTAATATGGAACTCTCTCCAATAATAATGAATTAATATGTTGCATCTATCAGAGATAACTTAAAAATAATTTTGTTACGTTGCAACGTTCTTGCACTAAACTATTAAACTATCTATCAACTATGTGTATAAATACAAATCATGAGCGTAAGGATACTCCTGCCAGCATATTGAATAGATTTTGATACAGACGAGTCGAGGAACAACCGCTATTGAATGGCATTTAACGCCATTTTCATCTTATTACAAGGATTCTATGCCGACAGTTTCATCCTGCTCAACACAGGTTTGTAAAGTACTTGTCTTTTTATTACAAAGTGACGTGGATCCGCATATCGAAACGCGAGGCATAAGGGGACTCTGGGGGACTTTTTTACTTTTATGTATATAATTATTTATATCATCAATTATAATGAATATATAGTTATGTACAATATTGAATCTCATTCTTTAACAATAACATCAACAACATGATTAAACAACGTTCCTCATTGGTACACAAATTGTAAATGTACAGATAAAAAAGCATTAGATGAGGTCAATGAGGCATTAAAGGTGGCGTACGCTCAGCGCGCCTTAATTCCCTCTTCTCTTTATACATTTTTTTAAATCCCCATATATATATATATATATATTTATATATATTTATATCTCGAATCACTTCGAGTTCTTTGTTCGATTTTTCTCATGGGCTTATATTTATATTTATATTTATATATACTCTGAAGTATTATACTTCATTTTTTTAGATACACACGTTCACATACACACAAATGCGTCACATTTGCTCCGCGCGACGCAACGAGAACATGACAACGTTTGATGATATTGATTGAATCGGTGTGCGATTTAATTCTTAAAGAGAGTGCATGAGCGATTCGCGACGCGCGATCGGCCAGCCATAAGTTTTCTTCGTGAATTTTAATTATATACCGGATATATCCTAATATACGATCTTATTTTTAATATCGTAAGGACCGCCACACGCATAGTCACACGAAGATCTTCCGTCATAATCAAAGGCGCAATCTTTACGTATTTAACTAAAAGATTTATGGCAAAATTATTTGAAACATCAAGAACGAATTAATAGCTACCGAAATTTTTTTAATTTTTGACTCGCCCCGCGCGACGCAAATCTCGACCAATCATCTAAAACTTTACACAAGGCTCCGACAAGATATCTTTTTTTATCGCTTAATAAACGACTTCCACAAAATCTAACGCACGAATTTGTTTTTTATTTTCGTATAGAATCGCGTCAAGGCGAGACAGAATCACCAAAGCTCTCTCTCTCTTTCTCTCTCTCGAAGCTTTCTCTAGCTCTTAAGGACTCGCGAAGGACACGCTTGCACGCTCGTAGTTCGTTAACAAACGTTTCCTTACAAGGAAATTTGAAGAAGGCAAAAGGAGAAAAGAAAACAAATGTGTAAAATGAACATTTCTCGAGAACAAGACGATACACATGCATCTGAAACATGATTAAATCATTCGAGGAGTTTTCGCAGCTTTCTCACAGCTGACTCGATGTTTTCACGATTATTTTTTTCATCAAAATACGCGAGTTTGAGAGAATACAGAATTTAAAAAATTTACCACAATACCATAATGATTATGATACACATGAAGAATTTCTAGAATTCTTGATAGTATTAAAAAAGATGAGATATCTGTCTATACAGATTGCGTTCAAAAGATCTTGTAATAAAATTAGTAAGTATGTTTTTACAAAATTAATAAAACTTTATAAAGAATTTATTATATTTTCTTAAACAACAAATTTTGAATTAGATTTTAAATTAAAATTCCCTCTCTTTTTCTATATCTCTCTCGTTTTATTATGTTAAAAATTATTTAAAGTAGTTTATAGAGCTTTTTAATTTAAGTCGTCAAAATTTTTTGTAGTTTTCAAGAGAGCTAAAAATCTTATAAAAAAAATATTCACATCTAAGCATCTGACAATGAGTAATATATCTCTGCTCTGATTCTAATCTTTTTAAATACACATACATTATTTTATTCTAGTACTTTTGGCATCTCATATATGTAACTACTTCTATTAAATTTTTACAAATAAAAAAAGACAAAATCTCTTTCCATCTAATTCCAAAGTCGAGAAAAGGGTGCAGAGTACGAGACAATTAAACATATCGACATGTTCTCCACTTTCTTCTCTCCTCTCGCAATCTCTCTTCCTAATTTTCTTCTCTGCTATTTTCATTGAATGTTCGTGTCACGTAATCTCGAATGTCGAGACGGATGAAATTAAGGGCGACTGGGAGCAACAGGAAAGACGAGTGAAATACGCACGTTCTTCGACGTCACACACAATCACAAAAATCCCATCATTCCAAATGAATGTCAAATATTTTAAAATTGTTATAAATAAATAAAAAACATATGTGATGCTTCATGATCAATTTAATTATAAAAATATTTGATTTTGACAAAAGAAATACATCTCAGAAAAGAAAAAAAAATATTCAATATATAATTCTGAGTATTGTCTTTACAATTAAATTATAAAAACATAGAGTATTTATTTTGCAACTTAAAATTTTCTATAAAATATATACGTTTCAAAAAAAGTTTTGCACCATTTAAATTTTTATTTAAAAAATTGTATTATCTATAAGTGCAGGTATTATATATTACCTAAATTAAACAAAAAATATATCTGTGAAATAAACTAATTACTAAAAAAATTTAATCTTTCTTTCCATGTCAATACAAGGACGTGGCATACTAAGCAGATGCAAAACTATATTTGACGTCTGCTAACAACGAGATATTTTGCAATATAACTTCGCACAATCTGGGAATGAAAGCTAGATCACTACTGTGATATTTTTCTCGCGTAAGAATTTAAGATCCTACCTTCCTGATTAATCTTTCGAACTAGTTGCACCGACGACATCCATCACTGAATCAACTAAATTTCTTTTTCATTCGCGTTCAATTAAATAGTGAATTTCACGATATTTTAATTATCAGCTTCCTTTCTCTCGTCTGCGTTATCAGCGCTTTATAGAAGGGTAACAATTAATAAATCGCTCCAGAAATTTAGTTAGGGTTCAGGACTGTCAGTGCAGCTGATCAGCTACATATCTCTTCGCTCACGTGTCCTTTGTACTTCGCAGAGTGCGTGTCCACTCGCGCGCCTCGCCTTGCTTTCTTTTGCCGCACACACACTCGAGCTATACATAGAAAGTTATGTACAACGATATTAACACGAACTGCAGTGGCAGTGAACAGTGCACGTGGATATTGCAAACAGCAGCAGCAGCAGCAACAGCAGCAGCAGCAGCAGTAGCGGCGGCGGCGACGGCGACGGCGGCGGCAACGACGATGACGACGATTATACAAGGTGTATGCGTAATATACGAAACACGGCAGCGACTACCACAGCTAGTTTTTAATCTGTCTGCTTCGTAATCTTCGTTCTTTTTTTTTATTTTACTATTTGCATCCCTCAATCGTGGATTTCCGATCCTGCGGCGAATGCGAAACAGGGGTGACTGATACCAGTTTATCGTCGTCACGATTCTTTTCTCGTTTTCCATTTTTTTTTCCTTCGTTTCTTCCGCTTTTCCATGTTGGCCACCTTTTTGAAGAACAGCCTCATGTGTGTCATATATTTATATATATTATATACATGTATATATATTATATATATATATATAATATATATATAAATCCGCTCGCGCCGCACTCGCGCGCGCATTAATCCCTTTCGACCTCATTCTCGATTTTGTGTGTATGTGCGTGTATACATACATATATATATATATATATATATATATATATTTTTATGTCCGATGTGTGTATGTAAGTACATGTACGTGAGGTTCGAATTATAGATCGTATGTATGCAACTGCGCGCGCGCGTGCGTCGTTATTACATGCCTGTTCTCGTACGTGTGTGATTACATGTGCGTGTTTTTTTTGGGTACGAGTTCGTTTTGCACGCGCACACGTCTGTATGCGCAGCGAGAGAAAGATTAAATGTATGAGACAGTGTATGTATGTGATAAGGGATTAGAGTATTTGTATATAAGTGTATTTGTGTATTTTTCTTACATATATGTATATTTTTCTTTTATATATATATATATATATGTATATTTTCCTTTTATATATATATATATATATATGTATATATATATGTACGTTTGTATGTATATATGTATACATATATATACATATACATATATATGTACACACACACGTGAGTTTCACAAAAATATATAAAAGAGAGAATGTCTATGTATACATATATATATGTGCATATATACCTATAATGTATATATACCGATATATAGACGATTTTTATATACTTAAAGTTGTGTGGAAAAGGGTACTTTATCGTAATTATCTATATGTATATACATATATATGTGTATACATATATATGTATATATAGAACCTGTAGAAAGTGCTTCTGATTGAGATTTTTTTTTTTTGTTTCATTAGCCATAAAACAAGACACACGAGGTAAGGATTGCGCGTAAGTAGTCCGGCATTACGTTTGCTCCGGCATAATTCGATTCGCGCCGAATCCGGCACTCTGTCTATGAGAGACGACGAGAGGCGAATCTCTCTCGAGACGAGACGAGACGAGGCGATCGGACGAACGAATCCAGTTCGCTGCGCTCTTTTATACGAGCTTGCGTCTCCCCTCGTCGTCTTCTCACAGCTCGCTCGTTGAACAACGGTGTTCTCTTAGATGCGTATTATATACATTATAACATGTGCCGAGACGAATTATATTACGACGGCAAGAGTTCTTCTTCTTCTTCTTTCGTTTTCGCAGGATACTGCAAATTCCACAGCGCCTGTCGAGGCTAAGCCACGTGCTAAACATTAAGCTATATCTCCCTCCCTCACCGTCCACTTTCTTCGTTCCCGGTTTACGGAGGGCCGATAGAGGAGCTTGATAACACAGTGTTACGCTTTGCGAAATGTCTGATTCAGTCCTGACGGCGTCGTCTTTTCGGCCGAAGACGATTATTATTCTTATATATTATTAGCTCGAATAAAAGAAAGAGAGACGTGTAGCTACCCTCAGACCGCACATTATGCCACTATCCGTTGTCCCTTTGCATGTGCGTCCTCTTCTCCTCGCATATATTTTCTTCACTCCTATCCTCCTCGTCCCCTCACTTCGGTATAATGATGTAACTCGTTCGTTAGGCTTCCGAGAGTCTTTGTCCACGCGATCGCGCATCAATTTTCGAGATATTCGGATTCAAAGAATCGCATTGTAAGTAACCAAGCTCGAAACGAAATCCTCGAGAAGCGATCGAATCGACGATATTAAATTATATTTGCATTGTCGTTGTACGAATCGATGAAAAAAAAAAATAAACAAATTCACTGGTTTTTTTCTTTTTTTTTTTTTTTGCGAACTCGATGATGCGCGATATCATACGACGATGGTGTTCCTCGGCGAAGACGAGACGGTTGAAGGGACGACGGGCGGCACAATGATTTCTAACGCATGATTAGATGTAGGAATATGGTCCGTCGGTGAGGGCGCTACACAGCAACAATCAGGAGGAGTCGTCCTTGCCTCGGGCACCTCTGCTTGGCCTATATTCGAGACCCGGATCGAACTGCATCAGCACGAAAACCTGGCGATTTAAAATTAACGAACCGGATATAAAATAATTCTATTCGCTCGTTACGGATTGTTCCGCATGTATTTTCAGTTAACGTGATATTGCAAAATTATATCAAATTGCCAATTACGTGTAGAAATTATTGGATTATCATGTTCCTGCGCGTTTACCAAATTGTTGCAAAATATGCTGTAAAATTTGGAAAAATGTGTAATACGATTATTCGAAAACGCTACGCTTTACCTGATCTGTAGGTAGTAATGTGAAGTCATCGGGTGGATTTGTGATCACGTATCGCTTGGAAGAGGCGTCGCACGACGAGCTAGTGTCTCGAAACCTAGAAGATTTAAGTACATGTTAGCGAGTGAGAATATAATGCATGGTATACGACGAGAACACGAGCTGTAACTATATACACCAACTGTATATAACTAAACTAATCAAAGTCGAGCTAAGTATTAAGCTAAACTAAAACATAAACTAAGCTAAACTAAAGTAAACAATATGGTCGTATGTGACGGATAACTAAACGCTAAATAAACAACGAGATGATACAAAGATAGAAAGAGAGAAAGAGAGAAATAGTAAAAAATGATAGGTATTTTTTGGATGAGAGGGCAACTTACAATCGTTGCTTCGTTACTTTCGTTTTTTTTTTGTTTCATGATGCAAAAACGCAAAGTGCAAAAAGTGTGCGGCAAGAAAATCATAATCAAGTCGCATAGTATACGTGAGTAAGAGATAATAAATGGCGGTACAATAATAGCGGCAATTGGAGAAGTCGCTGTTTTCAAATACGGTAATATATACAATGTATGTGCGTAAGGGTAATCCAATAAATACCATCGAGAGAGGGAAAAAAGTCCAATACCTGTACCTGTACAGACCAATGCACAGCATTCCGTACGACTTTAATGCTGCGACAAAGAGGTCACCGTACTTGCCTCCCTCGCCATATTGAGCCAATGGCCCGTCGTACAACGCGATCTGACCAACGCGACACCGATCTCTATTGGACAGACTGTCTGCCGTACTGCAAATTAAGTATCGTGTTTAATTTCATTCTTTTCGAAGAATTAAAAGTAAATAACATGTGTTTTCTTCACACATCTTACCTGTAACCTCCCCTTAAACCTGCTCCTTCAGCCAGGATCAATTCCAACTCGGGTGTAGCTCCACCGGTGATCAATGACCGAATCAGAGTCAGCGCGTTTTGGTTGAAGTATGTCTGCAAAAGTAGATAAAATTATAGGTGTTTGAAAGAACGATAAGAATATTGAATGTTAAAAATTATCGCGAGAATAAACGTGGTGTGAAAAATATATGTATTATTGATCCAGGGCTATACACGGTCGAAATAATGAATTTTTAACACCGACCGTCGACATAAGCGAATCCAATACGCTGACTGCGAAGGCAGTGCCGCAGGCAAACGGTTGTGTGAGGTAGAGTTCCGTGTCCGGGTCATCGTCGTCGTCCTGGTCAAGGAACTGCACGTTGCTGTCATTTACAAGTTCTGGAACAGGTGGATGAACGAAAATCAGCAGGCTTCGAGATTGATATTTTAATATCGTCACGATAAAACTTTTTGTCTTCGCGAGAAATATTTTGATGAGTTTATTATTATACATTAGAGTGATATCAAGTACATAAAAAATATATAAAGATTTGATGGAATCTTTTCCATTACCTGTAATCATTGGCACATTTGCTCCGTAAACGGATCCCCGCCGCTGCAAAACGATCGGGCTGCCAACTGAAGTCAAATATCCCGTTGTCATTATTTGTTATAATTTGCACTTTCGATTTTTAATATACATATAATATAGTTTTCAAATCAGATCTCCATTTTGTACAAATGACAATGACATGTCTTTGAGTGTACCTTGGCTAAGCACGCCGATTGTATCGTCGAAAGTCATAGCCTTGATATTAAGGGACGCGAGGATGGCCTCCTTGTCGGCGAGGGTGGGGTCATCATTGCTAGGCACTTTTGCCGACAGGATGCAACACATGTCACATAGATTCACGTTAACGGCACGTAAATCGGCTCTACTTAATGGCGAACCCTGCGAAATGTCATTCGAGTAAAATAAAAATATCCTGAAAGGTTTCAAGCAAAAAAACACCGGAAGACAAAGAATTTTTATCCGCGTGTTCCATACAAATTATTTTTTTTTTTTCATTATCCTCATTTTTTTGCTAATCTAATATTGGATATAAAAATCTTGCAATAGTTGACAACAGTTTTTGATAATGTGCAGGATTTATAATTTTCCAAGTAATTATCAGAAATTCTGCTGGTTCTTCTAATTTCGAGACATCAATCAAAAATTATAACATTATCTATTATTGCATTATACATATTTAAATCGATCAAAATTCAAATCAAAATTAAAATAATTTGTTTCTATTTAAAAACAGTTTCCATTTAAAAATCTTTTTAATATAAATTTAATTTGTAATTTAATCATTCATATCTTGCGAAAATAGATCAAGAAATTATCATTATATTTTTATATTAGAAAAAAATTGGCGTTGTTAAGGAATCCGTAATCGAAAAGAAAATTGGATATTTTTTCTTGAGACTCTACTACATGATAATAAAAAAAATCTCATTACTGCGCGGAATAGCTTTTGTGATTCAACTGAACAAGAATAAAACAGATTCTCACATTTAGAACCGATATCTTTGGTAGATTCTGCAACATTTTCCACTCGCGGCGTATGTAGTCCACCGATCCGACTATCACTACGTGTTTAAGCTCGTGGTAATGAAAATTGGAAGCTCGTAATGGCATGACAAGGTTTCTCAGTCCGATGAGAGGCGAGTCGGGATCGGCGAACAGGCAGACGACGACGTGTCCGTTTAAGACTGTCATCGCCGCCTGGTTACGATCCAGTATGCAGTCTTCGAGGTTGCGAGAGGGACTCCAATGGAACATCCCCGTCGAGTCGTATTTCATCTCGGTCTTCTCGAAATCGAAATCCTTCGCTTGATCGTCAGCGATCCCGACCTGAAGACCACCATTGTTGTTGACGTTCGTGCCAGCCGAGGCTCTGCTCGTTGGCCTGAAAAATCGCATTTTTGCGATTATATGAATGAAGCTACGGACGTGATATTGTCATTGTCAACTGTATGGAAGAACAATACTGAAGGAACAATAGTTTTACACTAATAGAAGATATCGATAGAAAATCTTAAAGGAATTACACTCAGAATTCTCCTCTCTGAAAATTCTTGTTAATTGGAATGAAAATTAATTGTAAAGCCACATTTTCGCATGCATCTCATACGCATCACATAATTTTTATGTCATCTAACACTCTACTGGTGTTGTTACTTTTTTATTTCAAAACGAGATGAGTTAGATAACAAATTATTATAGATTAAAGTAAATGTAAAAAAATATAAAAGGAATATTGGAAGGTATTAAGCTCTGTTACTGCGTGCATATAAATACAGTGGTTGTGTGATAAGTAGAGAATTAAGCAGAATTGCCTCTGTAAAAATTCAGAATTTTGCACTTCAGTAGCAATTATCATAAAGTGACTAAAACAATTTACAAAATCGTAGTTTATTAGGTGTCTATTTAAAACGTTGTCACGAAAGTTGCACAAATAGTTTGTTAGAAATTAATTCGATCAAACTTATTAGAGTGTAAAAAACGTCGATCAACGTAACGTTATTCCTTGAACGTGTTGCGCGAAAATTTGACACGCATATATATGACATTCATGTGCTTTTACGAGCGTCTTTAATGTCATTCGCGCATGTTTTTCCGAGATTAAGTATCCTCGTAAAACTAGCAGACTTTAATAGTTTTTGCGCCGCGACATGTAACAGTAACGCGGGGCGCAACTTCAAACATGTAAAAAGTAATGTTCGCGTTGGCGTTGTATCATTTAACAGCGCAATATACTGCTTGTAATATTTAAAGATCGGACTGTCGTTAATAATTTATCTTATCTTATTATAAATCTTTTAAAGCGAAAGAATCGATTTACGATGCACATCAAATTTAACGGACCAACGTTTTATGTTAACTATTAAGATAAGTTCGTGTCACCTCCAGGAAAGAACGCAAATTATGCAATTAATTTTTTTGATAAATAATACAATAAAATAATTTTGGGGAAAAGTAAAGACAAACATAAAACATAAAACATAAAACTATTGAAAATTATTGTACATAGACAATTAAACGTATCAAAAATTCATAAATTACATGTAAAGTCTATAAGTTTGATTGTTTCATGATCTACTCCTACTGACATCAAATTTTTGATTACATTGTAATAATTTAATTTTTTTCATAAGAGATATGCTCGTTTTTAAGACTTAATCAACATTTTGTCGTAGATTATCACTCAAGAATATAATTCGACATGCAGGGAGCACGCATGTTTCATTATTAAATAGTAGTAGGATAAAGCAGTCACATCACAATACAAGGTAGCGTTAACAACAGAAGCGTACATGAGCTTTTTGACTTCGTAGGCGAGATGGTAGCCAGCGTATGCGGACTCCTCTTGCGATCTGGAATCAGAAGGTTGCGTAACGTTGGATCTGTTCTCAGATGACTTTGTCTGATTTTCTGGTCCACGATGAGAAGGACATAATGATGACAGTGATGAATGATTCTTTTGACAATTACATCTATCTAGTCTATCAATCGTGAAAATTATTGCGGCTTATTATACGCGCATCAACCTTGTTGCGAATAATAAGATCTAACGCGAAAGAGATAGGAACCGCACGTTTATTGGCAAAAGGCATTGAACGCTCGGATTTTTTTCGAATAATGGCAGAAATTCTGAAAACTAATCTAGCGGACGTGTGTAACAGGTTCGTCGGAAAATGTCAACGACCACCTGTAGCCTGTAACTCAGCACCGTCCGATAGCATAATAGTACGAGTGGCTATCGTTCGCGAACGATTTCTCTCTCGTGATTTATGCGAATCGTTTATCGTTCAAGTTTGCCGCACCTTTTGTCAACAATTGACTGTAACGATAGATGGCACATCGATTTTTCTCGTTCCCAACGAGATTGTCTCTGATGTACTATTTTATTATGCAATTAAATGACTCTGGAAGCTACTTGGGAATCTGTTTTGATTAGGCTATATGTTCCACGCATTATACAATAATATTTTTCGAACTATATAAACGATTATACAGACAATTCTAGAATTTAACTGTTCGAAAATCACATGTCGATATCGCTCTCATAATTTCGCTGATTCATAAGTAAAGATATAGAAAATTATACTCGATCGCGATGGATGAATTGATTCTGGATCGCATCGAAGATCTCTACCGAGAATTGGCGGACGTTAAATCTTTGCGGGTTACATGGATCGTATGTTTAACAGTTTTTAGATACATGCTAATCGAAGAAAAACGTATGCAGAGGTTGTTGATACATTAATGTGCAGATCATCCTAGTGCACTCGATTAAAATAGGTCTTATTAACAGATTAATATCGTTTAGCTGAAAAGTACACGCATTTACAAAAAAAAATTCATTAAAGGCGCATATTTAAAACTGCAACTTTACTTTGTAATGTTATATATCATTAGGTTATTCAAAATATGTTGCCATCAATTCGTCAATTAGAGAGTATTGTGCAACATATTATATATTTACAATAGAGTTTTCACACACAGACTTGGCAACATTCCGTTTTGTTTGTCCAACCAGAATTCCATTACAATTTGAATAACCCCTATATAATACGCGTGAAAAGAAGTCTATGTAACTCTAATCGTGCAACTATATAGATAGCACAATATGTAAGCTTATAATTAAAGTATAAAATAATATACGTTGTACGACAGGATAGAGAGAAAGATTAGAGCGCACTTTAGAAAAATATTTATGTTCAAGCGACTCAGAAGAAAGCAATTCGATGTTTACAATGTGTCAGTATTAAATGTCGAGTGCACTGTAAGTCTTGCTATAAAGTGACACAAATACGAAAGTAAGAAAAAAAAATCAGAATAAAGAAATCCGAACGTCTATTGGAAATTCGCTTTTCACGCAGCGCCTTCTTTCATTAATAATTCTCAGTAGTGAAATTCGCATGGTGTTGCTTTGATTAGGTGCGAAACAGACATGTCATTGAATACTCTGATCATCAATGATCACAAATGCAGATGCGGTTTTTTTATATATATGATGACGATGATGTAAGTGAATGATGTTTGGATGCGTATGCTTGAGTGACGATAAAATTACAGTGCGCAGAATAATTAGATACCTCTGATTATACGGCTGATTCGGACTGGACAGACTGTCATTCGGCGCTCGATTCACGTTCGGCTTCACCTTGTTGACCTGCTTTGTCGAATTCATCATGGTCATCCCAACGGAGTTCCGATGATTTCTCATGGCTGCAACATAACGGAACATCAATGTTGGAGAATAGGGCGAGAAGAAATCATTAAACGCAAATTTCTCGTAATCGAATATTTTTCGTTAAACAATTAGTTAATAATAATTCTTAATTGATTAAGTTAAAATTATAGAATTTGAGACTTACCATTCGGATCGTCTCGTTCGCGGCTGATTTCACCTAAAATGGACAAAACAGTGTTAATTCCAAATCTGAGCATCCTATTTATCATCGATAGTGGGCAAAGCAACAATGATTAAGACGATTAGAGTGTCACACTGATCGTGACCTAACTCCCCCCATTACAGCGCACATTGTTTCCGGTGATGATGAGCCTACAGCCCCATGCTTACAGGCGCGCATACTTCACCCTACACTTGTGTTTGCATATGTCAAGAAATTAATTATTAATGGCGCCAATTAAAATAGAACTATTTTAATTACAAGAAAAATCTTGTACACGAATTTTCTATATTTTTTTATATTACACTTCATTTACTAATAAAATAAATATCATAAATTTATAAATTGAAAGACAAAACATTTTAATTTTTAAAAATTGACTGATTCTATTAAAATTTCTATTACAATTTTATCGTGTAATTCTAAATGTAATGTACGAATTACTTTCTATGCAAAATTTATTTTTTAAAATTTTTTGATTCAGTTGTGAAATAATATAAACGTTAAGTATTTTACCCCAAATAATAATATATTTTTTTTAATTTAATGTGTTTTTTTAAATATAATGTGTCAAATATAGGAAGAAAAATTAATTCATCAAAGCTGTAATTAAACAATGTCTGCTTCAGAAGTAATCGCAAGCCATTGTAGCATTATAAAAATTTACGAGAACAATATAATAGCACGTATCGCGATAGTTTCTTGAATAATTATTTTCTGTAAATAATGAAACAAAATTATAAAGTGCATTATATATATATGTATATTTTTATATATATAATGTTATCAAATTAAAACTTTTATATTAGAAAAACTATTAATCTACCGTGCTATATTACAACTATAAATTCATCTTTAAAAATTAAAAACAACAAGATATTATTAATTTGAAAAACGCGTTTCACAAGTCAACGAATCAATCGTGGAACAAGCATCTCTAGATATATGATATAAAAATTTCTATTTATCATGTACAAAGGTTACAAGATAAAATTAATTTAGCAAAAAAATACTTGTGCTAAAATAACGTTTCTCAAACAAATTTTGTCAAAAAATATTTCAATTTAAAAATTGTGTATCCGCTTTATTAAAATACATTAGACATTAAAAAAAATTTATCACGATAAAAAGGAATTTTATCTGAAAAAAATCTGTATTTTATATCATATATTTAGATTTACATTTAATTACATTCAATAAATTGACGTAAAAGTGTGAGAAACGTTTGTGCAATTAAACGAGATTTTCTACTTGTGCAGACGAGCACCAATAAATGTTCTGAGCATATTTAATATAATTACGCGATTTTAATTTATTTTCCAGAATTTTGACATTATCATTATCATGTACTTATTATCCTCATCGCAATTTTTGCAAATATTAATCGCTTTATAAAAGACTTAAATTATATAGCAAACATGTTTTTATAAATCGTTAATTGAAATTGCCTGATTATTCGTTTTCTCGTGAAAACTGTATCAACGTTTTCAAAAATGAAACATACAATCCGTCACATAATATGTAATTCTACATACATTAAAAGAATTGCTGGAATTATTTAACAATCTCTATAATCAATCTCTATAAAGAACTACATTTTGTTCATTAAGAAGTTATTCTGACTATATTGCAAAATATATATTAAAGTCACTTTATAGAATGATTATAAAATAAAATATAAATAAATAATATTAAAAATCAATTCTATAAGACTACTAAAAGCTATTGCGACTATACTAAAAGTATGTTTTGTGCAAAATCTAATAAACTTTCAATAAATTTAAAAATGTTAATATAAAACAGAGAGAAAATGATATTTTAAGCTTAAAATATAGAACAAAATTTCACGTAATAAACACAATTCTCAAACTAGTCATGAAAATATAACACGACATAAAATTAATGTAAATTTAAATATATACTACATTCGTACAGAAATAAAATAATGAAAAAGTATGAATGGTTATCAGAACTATTAGTCAGCTGCATGCATTTGTCACGATAATGGAGAAAGTAGTACACACACGAGAATAATACATAAGCATAACATAAATGTATGCTTGTGTATTATGTATGATAAGAACAAAAAATTATGTCACTTCGCTCATTAATTTCTCCCTACTTTCTCCAATGTTTCAGCAGCAAAATAAACAGATTTGAATCATTATTGCTTAATCGAACAAAACGTGTCAATAACTAATCGCTCAAGCGTGTTTGATAAGCGTATCAAACTTCCGATGTCAATTGAAAGTGATGATTTTTTTAAAGCTCGCCTTTAGTGTCTTTCGGCTACTATTAATCAAGCGCGACTTTTTATTAATGTATTATTTGTGTCGTATTGCCGATCGCGAAATTAGAAAGGGCAGCTTGCGAGACTGTAGCATGGTTTTTGATTGAGGTGTAACTGTACCTCTTACGTGAACCATCTTGGGCAGTTCTGGCGGAGTGAATGTGGGGGGAGGATGGTGGTCGTCTGTAACAAACCACTACACATGTTAGCTACCCTAACTAATTACCTAAAGTCTAATTGCTACTCTATTGTTGGACGGTACTAAATCTGCGAATTAACTTCTAGAAGCAAAGTTCCGTTTCAGCGTCACGATAATTGAGAAATCATCACAACGGATTTTCATGGTACTTACTGAGAAAACATTGCAAAAAAATTATTTTTCTTACCTTGCGCTAAAATCTAAAATAATAACAAATTGTAAAAATATTAAAAATCTGTTCTATCGTAACTTAAACCATTGATTAAATTTATGGTATAATTTATATACAGTATAATTTAATATACAACATTAAATAATCGATATGTACATCGAATATGTAAAACAATTCAATGTAAAAGTAATATCAAGCTGAAACGGCCTTTCAGTATTGCTAATTAAATATGATCTATAATCACTAAAATTATAGAGAGACAAGTGCGTACTTTAAATTCTAACAATTAAGATACAGTTCGTGACAACGTGGACGAGTTGACGGAATGAGAGCAGAAGAGACATTTTATAGACATTTTAATTATTTTCGAAGCGTCTTCGTCCATATTGCGGGAACGTTATACGACATGATACTAAAGTCGTTCTACGATTATAAACGTGCAGTATGCCCAAACCATTTCTAGTTCATGCCGAAGACGACGCAAGTGAAGAAGACGCAACGATATCAATTCCTTCGTTGTTAACACACGAAACAAATTTTATTTTTATTTCTCATCTCAATACACGATACACACATAGAGCAATCCGTCGTCTCCACTTAACGCTACGGTGTTGTATCGTGTCCTACGCATGCAATAATATGACCTTACAGAGTGAATATTTACTCGGCATTATCAGTGCACGCTTTTGCATCCTCCGGGGAAGAGAGTTCACGTGCAAAACGACAAAGATTTTGCGAAAGCTCGAGAGGAATTGAAAGAGTGCATGAAAGAATTATAGAATTTCTCTACTAAAAGCGTAAGGAAAATTCTTTTTTTTTTTTTTTTAGGATAGAGAGAGGTGGCGGAAAATGGATTCTGACGTTAGTTTCTCGTCAAGACGAGATGCGGCGATTGCGACCTGTGTCTATTTGCAACTGACATTATCGAGACCGACGGTGTGAGGCGAGTGGAAATATATAATATATTGCATGTGTGAAGCTCCACTTTAAGCGCACTTACTCGAGATCCGTTGAACAAAATAATATTACGCTAATTAGAGGTTGCGAACGTCGCGAGACACCCGTTTTCGCTCGAAAAGTCAAAGTTGATTCTCCTTTGACACGCTATTTCCAAGGAAACATTCTCGGACAGGAATTGCTCGAAGTGCAATTCTCTGTATTTCTCGACGTTCAAGATAAAATGTCAGATCGCCAAGAATTCTTAGCTTTCTCGGAAAGATACTATTAATGAAAACCAACAAAAAGACGAATTTCAATCGACAAATCAGCTACACGAGTTACACGACGAAACACATTGTGCAATATACGGAAATGTCTGAAAATTTTGAAGTATAAAGAAAGTATAAAAGGAAGTATAAAGAAATTAAACGGAATTTTTAAAATATCGCAAGAATTATTGTTAAATTTCACTGTAAGAGACTGGCTTTAAACTGAGTTATAATAAATAATATATGATTTTCTTTCATTTAATTACTGCGAAATTGTTTCGGATAATATTTCATAATTTTCTTCATTAAATCGAATGATATTTTTCAAGTTATAATTGGATTTCCTGTGTAATGCGCTACATTTAAGAACACAGGTTTTGCTCGTAACTCAATCTAGCAATTCGGCCCACTTGCAAGATCAAACGAATCGGAAAATGAAGGATAGATCAAGCGAGATGTTCGAGTAAACGTGCAAAAGGTAGCAAACGCTTCATCGATAGTTAGCGATGAACCTGTAGTATTATAGGTAGCGTTGCTATGTAAACTGATGGAAATTCGCGTTTGTTTAGCCTACGCTTCTACAAACGCGTTGCATCGCGTGCGCATCTAAATTGCGATTTCTCATTAACGCGATCGCGGCCGGATAGTACCATATAAACAATACATACGTATATATATAGAAGAGGAAATGCATAAATATATATTAAATATACACCCGCGCTTTGGCTAGACTTACTTGTGTACGAGAGATCTTCACCTATGCGGTAGTGGAGGAGACGAGGAGAAGATAGTTCGGACAGATAGACACATACAGAGAGTTAGTTAAAGAGTTTTGCTTGCGGATCTCGTGTTCTGTGATGAGCCCGCGTGCGCGCGCGCGTGTGTGCTTGTATTCCCGTATGCGAATTCGCGTATTTTGTATATTTATATATATATATATATATGTGCGTGTACATATATGTTGTACTTGAAGAGACATTTAATGCGACCGCTGATGTGCGTGTCACGTGTGTATGCATGAGTGTGTTTAGGCTCAAACGAGCAATGCAAGTGTGTATTGCAGCGTGTGAATTTACATGTCAATTAGAGTCGACATGTATCTTATTTATTTTCTCTTACGCGCGCATCGCTCACGTGTACTCGTCTATTCTACTAACATCGTGAAGATTTGTGTGGTGCTTTATTAACCGGCAAACACCGATCTGCTTCCGAAAAGGGGGACGGAAGAAAAAAAAAATAGTATGGCGATCGGACTGAAAACGAGCTGTCATCCGCGGGACAGCTCCGATGGCCAACATTTTTTTTTTTTTTTATGGGGCAGAACACCCGTCGACATGCGCGCGACAGCGCGTTATTGCCGTCAATCCGAAGGGTATAACAACGTTCGTCCGACTGATTAATAATGCAAATACGCGGGATACGCGACATCGACGACGACGTGTTCGAAGGGTGTTCCGCGCAGATTCTCGTAACACATAGGTCAATTCCATACCCAGCATAATTAAGACTCATGATTGTCACGAGACGTCATTTGCTGCAACGTCGAGAATTATATATCGGAGAAATATAGAAACATATATATGTATATTTTTTTGTACAACGACGTTTACGAATTCTTTGGTATTCACGCGAGATTGTCTCTATTACAAAAACGAGTAAAAATCCACGTAATAAAGGGCTAATAGTATCTAAAAATATCTCTAATAAAAAATGACACTTCGAGTTATTAATAGATATATCGAACACACCGATGCAAGATTAACTGGAGGTAGTTTAAGACTCAAGGCAGTCACATCACGCCGGTTCTCAATTGAATTAATTTCATAATTCACTCACAACAATTACCATTGAGTAACATTGACAAACTTTCAGGAAAAACTACATTCAAAAAAACGACATTGATAGTAGTGTAATCTCGGTTGCAAAATAGTTAAGAACACCACACCAATAGGGACTCAAACACTAACGATGTTCTACGCTGGAGCCACTTATTAATCTGAACGAACTTTGGCAGATTAGCACAACGACATTAATTTTATTATTAAAATTATTAACGCGGAATATAAGTAAAAATAGGATAAATATATATATCTTGCATTAGTTATAAAAATCTCGGTGATATCAGTTTCGCACGTTGTGCTAGTCTTGATGAACATGTATTATATAGTAATCTTTTTGTTTGATCATTTTTCGTTATACAACTGCAGAGAATTTATCGACCTTGACGAGAAATTTATTAAGTATTTGAAAGAGATACGTAACAAAAATAATAAAAATTTATCATTACTATTATAATTATAAAAGTTATAAATATATATATTCGTTTTTTCTATAATTGTCAAGGTTTCGTTATCAAATCATTTTAAGATACAGCGACTTTGTATCACATTTTAATTTAGAAAATTTTGCTTTCTAGATATTATATTCGTCAAATTAAAAAATGTTATTATTATTATTATACGAGATCATTATAAACACATGACCTTTGAGTCGAAGTTACTTGATATAAAAAATAGTAATCCGATAATACATTAACATTCAACAGACAATCTAATCTACAGATAATATAATAGTACATCATTGGTTTGAAATCATTGATTCGTATTATAGATTCACTAGCAATTTTGCACTTATATATGCTAAATAGATATCCATCCATCGTATATCGTTTATAAAAATAAAGGGAATATTGCTTCTCTTATTTTTTATTAATACAAATTGCAATTTTGTCAAGAAGGTTGAGATTTTTTCGAGTTAAAGGTCATGCCGCTTTTTTTCGAATATTATAATCTCTCTTTTCCTTTCTTGTGTAATCACACCTCATTCGATGAATTTAAAATTTCGTATAAATCTCCGTATCGGGATTAAGATAAAAAAATGACATTTGGTACACAGTCTACACACGATACGTACTTGCTCTTCCAACCATTTGAACAGCTCGCACGCCTTTCCGGAATGTGGCCACTGCCCGAAGGGAGGAGAACCAGAGCTGTTAGTTGTCACACCAAAACAATGTCAACCTAGATGCGGGGGTCTCAACGGGTGTAGGGGATCTAAATCCGTTGTGCCGATCGATATGTCACGTTTAGTACTCAATGCGACTTATCTCTATCAGGGTCGGGTTATTAGAAATCCTTATACTTTCTCTACTTTTCAAGTCACATTCTCTTAATTGAAATTACTTTTATATACATATATATATATATATAAAATCAATATCTCTCTCGATAATTATATTTAATATAAATTGATTTATAAATCATACACGCGTATAATATTCAATTCGTATAAAAATTCGCTAGAAATAAATTCCCTCAAAAATCTGACACGAGAAAGAGAGAGAATGTCGAGGGCGCGTCGCTGATTTGATAAATCATGAATATATTCCCGTTTTTTGCGAAAATATCGTAGCTGCAACGTGACCTTCGATGGAGAGATTTATTATTAATACTGGTGTTACAACCATTGCATAATTTACTTCGGCCTACTGTGCGGATCGTAACATATAGAGATTATTATATCTGCGCTGTGCTGGTCGAGCTTCGTATATTCAGGAATATCTGAATATCGAAAACATCGTTTTCTCAGAAGTCAATATTGGTTTGCAGAGTGTCGGCGTTATTGTTGTGATGTTGGTGAGTGGTGTCAAATATGCTCGGATATGTGAGGGGGAAATGAGGTATTTTTAGCCAACGTGTGTTCGATAAACCCTGGGCATTGATTATCATCGTCCGTGTAAGCTGCATAAGCTCATGGTAAGCTTACGTCTTGGTGCTTTTTCTGGTTGCGTGCTGAATCCAATTAATCATCCGGCGCGCGCAGTTAGCGACATTGAAACTATATCACGGAAACGGAATTCCACGTGTGCACGATCAATATTTTACTGAATAACGCACTGCCGTAGTTTCTTTCCTGGCTATTAAAACACATTTTGAAGTTAAAAATAAGGAAAAAGGAACAACAACAACAACATGTGTCTAACAATATCCCTTGTGCTGTCAAAAATATGATTAAATTATACGTGGATTTTTCTAAATATTCTTCTAATCATAGATGCAAAATTATTCATAAACGTATATTCGAACATTGGCAAGATTCTCACAAGATGGACCTCTGTAACCATAATCTACTTTTGTTTTAATCAATATTGCATATAGCATATTAAATTAGATCAAAATTAATAGAGAAATTAATTAATGTCAAAAGTTTTACTGCAATAGCTTGATTTCAAAACAATTAATTATACAATTTATTACGCAAATGGCGCAATAGAAAAAAACGTTTTTCGAGAAAGTCGACAAATACATACTATATGTATATTGAAAAGATTATTAATTCATTTCTTTAACTTATGCTGATATTACTATAATATTATACTTGCTTAATAAGGCTCAAAACTTATAAATGTATGATTTTTAGGATGATAACTTTTACGAAAAACGTTCAATTTGTGCAAAAACACAATGCATACTTTTATATATTAATTATATACAAGGTGACCCAAAAAAGTAATAATGTTAAGTACGCTCAATATATACTACAAATACAGACTAAATGGCAAAATGTATATATAGAATATATAATTTTGGGTAACCTTGTATATACAAACAGAGATGCATCCCAGTTTCAAATTGTCACGATCATTATCTCAACGATGCAAACACGTTTCTGGCTAAAGTAGGGAGTGAACCTTTGTGCACGACATATGAATAACATGCGTGATAATTTGAAACTGGTGCGTTATACAAATTATATCAATAAAAAGTCCATTGTAAGCACACTGAAACAACAGTTAAGAACGATAATTGTTAGCAAGCCTGAAATACGGTATGAGCAAACTCGTCGATTGGTGTTAGGTGGCAGGCCATTGAACGTTAGTGAGGACACAAAATATATATACGGCTCGGGGCAACGTGCAAGAATGCGTTTCTGCGCGGAAGCGACCACTGTATTTGTACTTGTGATGATACGAAGCTAAACGTTACGCAATAATTCATTAATTTGCGACCGTCTCCGCTTCTTCATCCAACCGGCGTGCTTGTTACTCGGCCTCGGCCCATGTGTCGAAGAAGAGGAAGAAGCGGCCAACAATGTTAGTGCTACGTAACGTAACTGTATATGCTGCTATTCAAAGAGGACGATAACTCGCTCAATGCCATCTCAGCTCTAGCGAAAGCCCAACAATAAACATTACGAATCGAACGGATATCCAAGTGGGATGAATAGGTATCGCATACGGGTATTGTGGAGTAAGTGCATGTGATAAGTGAGACGAGAATAAGTCCTCGTCGGTCTGGCTCTTACATATTCGGTATCACTTACACCATCTTACCTCGTTAAACCTATATTAGGCCCACTTGGCTCTGCCGGACGCGGAAATATTTCATAATAATATTGAGGATAAAGCGCTTCAACTTGTTGCCGATAAAGCAATTCAACTTGTTGCTGATATAACATTTTGAATACGCGAATAGAAAGTATATCGAGTCTGGCAGAACGTATTTTGTCAGAATAACAAACGTAAATTAAATAGACAGTCAAAAGTTGCTAAATCATCTCTCGACAACTCGATGATTATTCATTTAAAGCATTCAGGTCGCGAATACGTTCATTTATACTGACAAATTCTCGCAAAAGCTGCGACAAGTGGATATGCATATATAGGGAGAGGATGGAACAGGAAGCCGGAAACAGGCATACCGTCGAGGTAACTGCTGTAGGCAGTGTTTCCCTTCACCATGCCGGTCTGCATCATCATCATCCCCACATCTGTAAAAATCCAGCGATCGACCCGGACACGGGTTTGTGAGTTACGAATAAATGAACAGACATCGTATATACATGGGGGGAAAAAACATGAAATGGCTGGTATTCACGGCGCATTCTTTTAGTAATAACAAAAAAATTGCGGAATTCGTATGTGCACAATAAATTGTACGTGTTTTTTTACATATGCAAATACAGAACCAAAAATCCAGACTTATCACGTGAGAAAATACTCGATATATAATATTATGTGAAAATTCAATGAATAAAATTTTTGCTCATTTTTTAAAATAAATATATACAATACAATTATTCCGTATGTAGCAACATTACGATAAAATAATAGAAAAATTGATAACTCGGCGTTAATCCACGTACGAATTCGCGCACGATATTAATCACAATATGTATATATGTTTAATCACAAATATATGTACATCCAAGAATATGTAACGCTGAAAAAAAACCAGAAAATCAGCTCGCACATCGAGGCGAGTTACCTTCGACAAGTCTTTCCTTGTCAGATCCGTCGGAGATTCTTGTAAAGCCTAAAACGATCGGATTAAAATGTCAATCGCGATTGGACCGATCGTAGGTACTCTCCCGGTGAGATCCAGGTACCGGGGAACAACGTTGATTGCCCAGGGTTTAGGGTATTACCGTTCCTGAATGCGGACAAGACTGATCGTGATTGAGCGATAAGTCGCTCCACTCGGGGGAGATCTCATGTGGATATATATATACATATATATATATATATATATATATATATATATGGTTGTGTGTACGTGGTCGTGTACGAGTGTACGAACCCGAATGCGATATGTCGCGGGTGACATGGACGGAATTGTCGGCGGGGGACGACCCGGGGATCTAGCCGATGTGCCAGAACGGCATGACGAGGTCTCGTCGTTCGTGGGACAAATAAGAAATGCTCCTGTCGTCGGCGCACCACCGGACGGTCCAATTTTACGGCGATTCGAGAGAACGAGAGAACGAGACGTCCGGCGAACGTGAATACGGCGAAGATGCGCGACTCGATCGCGGCCGATCGATCGGCGAGGAGTCTCCTCGATATAACACAGCTAGCACGTTGAGAAAGAAAGAGAGAGAGAGAAAGACAGAGAAAGGGAGAGTGTGAGAGAAAAAGTGAAAGCTGGCACACGATCGAAGGGGGTAGTTTTTTTCGGAGAAAAGAACGGAGACAGCGAGATATAAGAGATAGAGGATGAAGACAGACAGTGATTGAGAAAGAAGCTGTCATTAACCATTAATTAGTTGGCATAAACGGGTCCGAATCCGGGAGCTAGTTCATGCATGCAAGGCGAGCGAAAGAGGGAGGTATACACTAGTTAGTGCAGACTAATTTTCGTTCTCGGTCAGGTGGACATGCGCCAACTGACTGGGACTATCGGGAATTACGTGTTGAGTCGGTACTTCATTTTTCACGTCACTTTTATCGCGCGAAGAGACTTTTTCCTCGAAACGAAATATATATTGATCATATTCAACGGGTTGCGTAACACGCGGAGCGACTTGACCTTCCCGAATAATAGATACGAGATAAATTTTTCACTCTTTGCCGACAACAGCACGAGATCTCGGCAAACTCTTTTCGAGGAAAATAAATGACATGACGGTGAAAAACGAAAAAGTACCCGATTGTCGCATCGTCTTGGAAAAATTGTATCTTGCAATAATGATTAAAGATGCAATCATTATATATTGATCATCATCGTTATTATGATAATCATCCTCATAATCATCACCTTGGCTTGCAAGAGATTGATTAATGTGGGAGGCATATATGTACCGATAAGACACTGAGAGAGATAGAGACAAAGAGAAAGAGAGCGAGAGAGAGAGAGTGAGAAAAAAAGAGAGATAGAAAAGAGAGAGAGAGAGAAATTAAGAAAGAGTATAACTTAACAGAAGGATAATTAGATAATCGCAAGGCGCGAAAAAACAGAGTCTTAATATAGAGGCAGAACAGTAGACGGTACAGTCAAATGATTATGAGCAGCGAGCCATTAGTTGATGTTTGGCGAATGAAGGGATTGGATCAAGAGCCAAGATCGTATATAAAATAGATAATAAGAGATAAAAATAAGAGTGTTAAGAGAATAGTTACAGATGATAGTAAAGTACCAGACTTATAACGAACGAGTGTGAGAGACGTTACCTAAGTCCCGGCCCCAGGAGCGCTGCTGCTGCCCCACTAGATCATATATCACAATAGGATAGTCACAACCGTGTCACTTCGTTAATAGTCGCATTTATTACTGCTATCGCGCTTTCAAACGAAGGTAAAAAAGAAGTAAAAGAGGGTGAACCGGCAAAATACCGGAGTGTGATGGAGGGAGAAGAAGAGATATAAAGAGAGCTTTCCTACGTGATCCGTTCGCATTTATACGTTATTTTACATATCGAGACGTTTATTAATTTTGCGAGTCACATCGATGGCAATAATGCAACACACTCTATCGATATCGATCGACAGAGAGAATGGATATATAGAGATAAACTGCGCGTAGGACTCGCAATGCTATTCAGAGATCGAGCGCGTTTCTATGTACATCTGTGTACAGTTATATATGTTAGCTATATAAACATATGTATATAATAACCGGCGAGAGAGAAGATCGAATATTATTTAGGCAGTAAATTTGGCAAGAATCGAAAGAGACTGTTGTAAAGGATCACTGGGCTAGAAAGACTTACAATTTTTGCACTTGCACTTCTTGATCAGAGTCTCGTCTTTAATATCGTCGTGGCATGCTTTGCAATAGAACCACGCCCTGAAAATAAACAGAATAAACACGATTAGTCGTATAAATTAAAAAGCAAAATATATTATTTACATCTTTATTTATTTGAAGGAGAATAAAACTGAAATATATATTTGCGAGACAGAGTAATTTAATAAAAATATAAATAATTAAAAAAAAGATGACGCAAAATTGTTCTATACATTGAATACTGCTTGATGTCGACGGTAAATAATAAATCTTAATAAAGTTAAGTGAAGAATGTCTAAAAAACAAATTTTTGATTTAATTTTAATAATATTTAAAAATATATTCTTACCGTTTCACTTCGTCAGCAGATTGAGCAATGAAGAATCCCTGAGTATTTGCAACGATCTTGGCACCACGTGGGTTAATCGAGATTTTACTGTCGGAGCCTCCTTCGCCCTTTATTTCGATGGCCAGTAGTAGAAGCTTCAGTTTGGTGAAGCACAACCTAGGACGAAGTCATACGTAATATTTGATATCTCGTAAGTATATCAATTATACATTAAGCTAGAAAGTTTGCATACATTTTGCTTGTTTTTATATGATACACTTATGGACATATACAAGAAAATAATTTTTAATTATAATAAGCAAATAGAATTATAAAGATAAAACGTCATTGATAATGAGTTGCGTATAAATAGATGTAATAATGTGCGGTAATCTAAGTAGAGCATTCTATGTGTAATATAAAAATTTTATAGCGAGATAAAATATCAATTATAATATATATATATATATATATATATATATATATATATATATAATAAATATCTACGAAATAATATTAAGTATATTTAAAGAGCAAATTTTTATAATACAATTATTACAAACCATTTCTAAGAAAATAAAAGATCAGGAATTAATTACTTAAGAAACTCAACTCAGTATCGTACGCATTAGGTAAACAATAAAACTTGAATTCGTAAAAACAAATACTTTTGCTTCTTATAAGAAACCATCTTGGATTATACTGAAAATTTAAAAAAATTTTTAGGAAATATTTTATATACAAAATTTATACAAGTTCTATAACGAACTCATTTGTGTAGGCGAGAGTATCTATATACGAATACAAGCTTCATTCTTTACAGGAAAATATAATTAAATGCAAACGTAGCATAAAGTATTTTCATCTGATTATATTTGATTGCATAATAAAATACCTATTAAATAAAAATTGCGGCAAATAAAATTTGCCTACATTAAAATGCTTATTTATTATTCATAATTTATACAAAACATTAAGTTAAAAGTTATTAAAAATGATAATCTCTATCATTATACTTAATCTTATATTATTTAATTTTAATTTTTCATACTTTATAAACTTCGTTCAGCATTATTAATTGACAAATAATGTGATTTAGTAAAATATGTGTGCACATCCACAACATAACGGAACATTGATCACGAGCAATACAGGGATTTGTTTTATTTCAAATATAGAAATATTTAAATTTACATCGCTCGTTTATTAAAATATATTAATAAATTAAATTTTATATATATCAATGTCCCGTTATACAACCTTGGTGATAACACTGAATGCTCATTAAACAATCATGCAAGGGGGATGCATTACACATTGATGAATTAACTCCAAGCGATCGTGCAGGAAAGTCTTACATAAACGCGATTCATTACTTATCTAATAATACGAGCCGAAGCATGCCAAGATAGATCAAAAGTTTCTATCGCTCTCTATAGGCTATCTATTACGTTCTAATTTCCTAATCTAGTTCAAAGTTCCAGAAGGCATTCAGGAGATCCGGTCTCATCCGTATAAGGATCCAACAGATCGACAGCTAACGTTGGACAAGCATTTTAAAATATACGATTATACATATGAGATAAGGCGTAAAAAGATAATAAAAGTATTTATATTATATTCAAATTGTAAAGATTGCTCTCTTCTTACAAGTAGATCTCTCACACACGCAAACCAAATAATGGCGATAATCCAAGTGTGCGCATAAAAATAAAAAGAGAAAAACTTAAAAGAATTATATAGCTATCTGCCTCGCGAATAATTTCGCGAATGTAATTCACTGATCTCTACATTGACTATGCAATATGTAGCTAACAAATTGCATGTGTGATTGCTTCTATTTGCAGATATTTTGATTTAAATTCATTTCTGTTTAACAAATATTTAATTATTGCTTATTTTATCATATGCATACAATTTTAAATTTCTTTGCAATAAATTATCAAATACAAAATCTGTTAGAATAAATTAATAATTCGCGTGAAAATCTTCAAATTTTCAAAAACTAATAATATGCAGAAGCTATCGCTATTGCGATATTTTTATAAACAAAAGTGCTGACAATTTGTCAGTGTAGAGCAAGTTAAAAAATAGCAAAATTAAAAAATCAGAGAGATCAATGATGCAATCTTAACTGGCGAATACGGTGCAATTCAGACGGTTGAGAAAGGATATTAATAAAACGGCATATTTACTTTGCCGAAATTTCGTAATTTTTTGGCTGTAAAACGATTTCTCGAATAACATTTATTACGACAATTTATTATGTAATTTTGTCCCGATTTAAGAGATATCCATTTTATCTATATATTTTTGAACTGTATGTATTAAAGGCCTAATATTTTTTTATAATATTTCGTTTTCATTGCAAGAACATATCGTATCGATATGGAAAGAAGATGTGCCTGTTTGTCTTATAAATATATGTTCCCTAATTAAATATATTGTAGCGTGTATAGTGATTTGCAATCGAAATAAAATATGTATTTAATTCTTACAATAATGTAAGAATTATGATACGTCATGATTTTCCTGTATTTACTTGATATCTTTATAGTGTACTTTAACACAGCTTTTATTTTTGTAATAAGATGTAAGTAAATAAGATTCGCAGAAACAAATATTTCTGTTGAAAAGTATAAATTATCTTTGGTAAATTTTTTATAAAGTACAAATTTTTAATATTTTTTTTTATTTTATAGATGTAAGATATTTCTTTAAAAAGATGTGACTAATTCTGATTGCAAGTCGCTATATCTTTATTGTGTGTGTGTCTCAGGATCAGCGAGCAGATATCTATAGAAATATGTTAGTTATTCGCAGAAAGCGATATCCTTCATAATTTTCGCAAGGACAAAATTGCGAGCTCGATTATAAATTTAACAGTGCTTACTAATACATATTTAATCGGCAGAGATACGATCGATATTCACCCGTATATTTCTCCAATAACCTGTGTCAATGTGTTACCAAAATAAGTTTCACATACTTTTACATGGTAAGGAGCAGCAGGCATGCGTGTACAAAGAACGCGCTTTTGTTAAGAGAAGATTAGAACGCTACATCTAAGAACACACACCATGACAAGGATACGGACATTATTGACAAAAAAACAAAAATCTTGCCCGCGTTATGGTAAAAAAAAAAGTATTTATATAAAAATATTCAAAAATATACAATATCTAAATTGAGATAGTTCTTTTTTGTTTTCTCGATAAAATCAAAATCTGAAAAAAGACACGCACGTACGCTTCTTTCTCATTTCGTCTCACGTTGCGCCGTAAAGAAAAAAATTATTGTGGCATTGTCGAAGCGAAATGCACGATTTATTGGGACGAATGCGGATTTTGCAACGATTCTCTTTCACATACATATGTCTAATCGTAAGTAATTAAAATTTACAAGAACAACTGCCGGTCACGATATTGCGCGAGCCGATTTAAGATTAAAAGTCTTCAAGGTCCTCAATTAAGTCCTATTCGTGACATTTAATGGATACGATTCACGCAAACTTCGTAATTTAAGTCCCTTAATTACTATTGGGAACAGTTTCCACGCGATAATGGAATAATCGCGAAAAAATGTACAACCGATCGAGTAGAAAAAAAGCAAATAAAATAAGAAAGTGTTGAGAAAAGGCAGAAAAGAGAAAGGACTCGTACCTACGGGTCGCGTAAACGAAATCGAGCTGTGAAAGGATTAAGCAACGCGCAATTCCAATCTCGATATCAATTGTTCCGTAAAATAGTGTCGAGATATAGGGAACACACGATCGGCGGTCTCGATACGGTCGTTAAAATCGTTCCCGACAGGAACATTTTCGGAAGCGCGCTTATTCGCACGCGAATCGCGTGCTTCGGGACGCGATTTCCAGCAATTTCCGCGAACCCGAACATTTAAAACACTTTCGTTTCCGCGCGAGCCGATTCCCTGGTTGCCAATCAAGCGTTCCAATTATACCGAGCACGATCGGTCCCGGCTTTTGATGCGGCTACGGCAAAGTCCGCATTCGTTCCTCTGTTATTATATTTCTCTACTTTATTTCTACGCAATTCACAAAAGTCTGTGCAGAATTTCGAGCAGAAATTCGAACATAAAAGTCAAAAAATGATTGAGAAAATGAGATCGGGGTACGATCATCGAACGGAGGCAAAGAGAGAAAGAGAGAAAAAGTGAATGGATTTATACAGCTCAAAACTGGACTACTCTACGCAAAATCCAAACGAAAGGAGATGGACAAAGACAAATATGACATAAGAACTAGTAAAGAAAAAGATCGTTCAAAGACTAAAAAGACCGAGGGGCGATATATATAATATATATACGTTCTCATGGCATATAGGTATATGTAGTGACATATTTTTCAGTATCACAGAATAGTTCAATGTGGTTAGTAATTCGTGAGACGAAGATATATAAGACAAAAAGAGAGAAAAAGAGATAGAAGGAAAAGAAATTAGTAACCAAGTGTATTAGATATTATAGTATGTTTCTGTATTGTATATGTATACATCGCTTTTTCGTCCTATGAATGCTGTATGATGGTCCGTATAATTGTCAATGTATATATGTATGTGTCGCGTGACTGGGGTAAGTATCTATTCGGTATACGTTTATGTGTGTGACAGCCATTGGCAGCGAGAACTTACTCGCTGGCTTGGGGAAATGTCATCCCGGTAAAGGACGGGGAGAGGGTTTCCGTGTACATCTCGCAGCCCGTGCCCTGCAGGTAATCATTCTGCCACGCCTGTGTGTCCGGCGACTGAAACACCAACCAACCAAGCCCGACGTCATCATACTTTCATAATCCACGTGCGCCGAGGCCTTCCCCTCGACGAAAAGTAGCAGCTCCGCAAGAGCTGCTACTCTTCGCGGAGGAAACTGTAATGGGATGTTTTATTTTTCGCGTTTCGTAAGCGCGAAGAAATTTTTTTTTATTTTTTTTTAACAACGCGCCTATCTCTAAAAAGTTCGCCTACAATGCAGCGCTAATCTTAATCCTCGAAAAAAAATCAATTCTGCAAAAAAAGTCTGATTAGATTGTTTTTTCTCTATACAGAGTCGGATCCTAAAGCCTGGACAACACAAAAATATAAAGGATGTCTGAAAGATTTTCGTTTGATAATATCAAAGGATATCGTATCCTTTAGAGACATTCTTGTATCTTTTATAGATTGGTGTTGCCAGGAACCATTTGCGCAGGTATTCGGAAATGCTCGGATGGTGATTTGGCGAGTGGCGCAATCCGTATCATGTCGATGCACGACTACCATGCATGATGATGCATCTCGCAATTATGGCGACCGACCGGAGAGTAAGAGTTATTATCACCGTTCCCGAAACGAACGACCAACGGTAATGATCAAATTCCAGAAACCGTAATTCCGGGGGCGAGCACGCGGGCATACTCACTCACACTCACTCTGTAGCTGTACGTGTGCATATTCGAGTCTCGCACATACACACTGATCTCTTGCAAATTTGCAATTCTGTCTCTCCCATCAATCTCAACGATTCATCGATTGATCGAGACCTGAACCTTTCTCCGCATTTTCCTTCCTTTAGTTAGACTTCATCGGTTTTGCGCAAGCCCTTCACACAGTTATATTCTTGTTATAATCCTTTCATATAGCATGTAGCAGAGCTCTAAAGTATGCTAAGTATTCTTTCATTAAACAAGAAGGATGACAAGAACGACACTTCTTCGATTTGTTTCTCGAGCTACTACTTCGTTGTTTTTTATGTGAAGCAAGACAATAATTCAAAGTTTCCAAAGTGTTCTAAATTCATAGTACAATATTTTTATCGACATGCTTTATCTTCTGGCATTATTTGTTACAATCTAGCAAAAATGATTAAGGAACTTGCGTAAACATAATTAAAGTATAATTAATAGTTTTTGAAAAATATTGTTTATCCATTTAATTTCTATTTCAGAAAATACTTTAAAAAGAAATTTGAACGTTGCCAGAGCTTTTCATTTGTACGAAATCGCAGTGCGGAAATCGCAAATATACGAATTGTATGTGTTCGAGAGAACATGTTTATCAAATAACCACCGTGACAGTAAACACGTTGCTGCTTAATTGACAATAAAATTTAGATCAAAGGATTGTTCTATGAATCTCCACCGATGGCAAGATAATCTGGCCACCGTGTTTACTTGGAACGTCCGTCCGCCACTATGCCGGTTTGTCGAAGTTTCTAGCCTAGTTCCAAGCTAGAAACTCCAAAACAAGAATAGGATGGAAGGATGGAAATAACTCTCTAACAAGATCAGAGTCGTTCTCCACTCCCTCCCCTTTCCTACCGTCCGCTGTTAATTAATTGTTATTGTTACAAGTCTCTCAAAGTTACATGTAATATATATCAATTGCAGAGAAGGGTGAAAATACAGATACGTTACTGAAGCGATGAAGGGGTGGTTTACATCGATTAGGTGTAGCACAGATATGGTTTTATACAATATAATAGACACATTTATGTATCATATTGTAATATGTATATACATATATGTATATATGTATATATGCGCGGAGATTCGCTCCGTTTATACATACATATGTATATATCTGCGTGTGTATATTTCTACACTCATATATGTATATACTTTATATATGTATATACGTTTACGTATATAGCGGAGTGGAGCGTAGTGAGAGACATAGGCGAGGCGAAGCTTCATCCCTTTTTTTTATTTTGCCTTCCGATTCAAGAGACCGTGGACCTCTTTCGAGTGGCTTTATTGTAATTGCGATAACGAGGCGCGAAATGGACAAGCGTGACTGAGAAATATAGATGGCAATTTTCGTTATTCTCATTCAAAGAAATTCCTCTCGCTCGAGCATTCCACGAGAGATTCTATCTAGACAACAGAGTTACGCGATGAAAACCACAAGAGTTTTGTTCGTGTCTTACAAGAAGGAGTAGAAGAGCCATCCGTTTTCCATAAACTTTTTGCACGACTGCAGAGGAACTCGGCGCAAGTCGAATGAATGAAATTGTTTTAACTCGCCTGTTGAAATAAGTTTAAGTTTGCTCTCTGTAGTTATAACATTAAAATAACTTGATATACGTTGAAGATCTTTGTTTGATTTTATACTTAATTTCTGGAATTGTCTATATCAAGAAAGATTTAACGAGCCAAAACATTTAATGTAATACTCCCGGAAATATGTTAGGTATATACGTATAAAAAATGCTAACAATAATTTTATAAATTCAGTTTATAAAAGCTACTCTAAATAAAATTTTTATTGTTCTATGAAATTTATTGTTTTCTTTCTTCAGCTTACATATTTGAAAAGGAAACGATATCGATTGTTGCTCGTAAAAATATCTTTCCTACCATTATTTAATTAATTATTGAAAAAACAAAGTCTAATAAAAGATAATAAGACGACGTAGCTCATGAAACTACCTTATCTAAGTTTCTAATTTTGAATCCCTCTGCATTAAAGCGCAATATACAACGCAAAAAGTCCATAAAAATAGCGGGAGACCAAGTCCCCTACTTTTTCTCGTTAGACGACAAAATCGATCGCCGTGCCACGTGTTCGCTACGTCACTCTGGCTGGAAAAAGCATGAATTAAAAATAATCACACGCGCGTCACAACAGCATTATGCGGAATTAGCGATTGTTTTGACGATTCCGTACGTCTCCCGATCGCGGTTTATCTCGTAACCGCGCGCAAGAAGAAAGAAACGACATCACTATGACGGAGCACACACAGGGGAGCGCAAACACGAGATCAAACAGGATAGAGCGATGGCGATCGAACGATGGATATTGCCGCCATAGCCAAATAAACGCTCGGTCCCGTCTCTTGAATCAGATATGCGCGTATTCTGCTGGATGTTGGCTTAGTCCGTGGACCGACTTACTCAGTGGCTTTCGCAAAGGGCATTCCAATGAAGGTAGGGCTCAGTGTCTCGGTGTACATCTCCATTCCGGTTCCACGTAGGTAGTCATTCTGCCAAGCCTGCATATCGGGCGACTGGTACCAATCAACCAACCATTTCTAAATCACACGCTCCTATGCATGTACGGATTGTGCGCGTATGTCCACAGTGAGGTGCTCGTGTCCGACTAATTCCGGACGTGTCATAATGTTACGTGACGTGACGCGACGCGCAAATCTCGCGAGCCGCTTCCGCGTTTGCATTATCCGTGATTTCGCCCACCGTGCGGAATGACGTGCAAGAGAATTTTACGAATAACGAGACGAAAATTTAGCAGAAATTACTTTATCGAATTATGGAGATACATATATCTGCCAGTGCTTTTGAATCCGAGTGATCGCGAGATCTCAATTTCGCGAAAAGTACGATGACGTAAGGTCTTTTATTTTTTTGTTTTCGCGATCACTGTGAACAGCCTAATCAAAACCTATACGAGGAATGGCGTTCAGACATGCATAGATTAAAACGGCAGGTGGACTGCCGGAGAGCGACGATTTACTGACCGTCTTGAAGGAACGCATCGCGAAGAGATTGGCCATCATTGTGCTGAAGCCAGGAGCGAGGCAGGATTGCGCGATGAAACCTAGTTTCAATTCCGCCAGGCAAATGACGTCGTCACCCTGCTTCCAATCCCACGATGGAATGTTTAGTAAGTAGGCCTGGAACACGCGATTCGATTGACGGGATAAGAGATAGTCGTATATCTTCGATAAAAACATATAATGTTGCGAAAAAAAGCAACACAACAGAAAATATCTAATCCTTGGAATAGATGTATAAATCAAAGAAAATTCTCGGTAAAACAAGTTTTGAAAAAGAATTAACGTCAACATGTATTGTTAAATCCCATTCTCTGTTCGTGAGTACAGAATTTATTTCCTGTCTGGATGGCGGTTACCTTGTTATGATACTGCATTAATTGAATGATAACGCGAATGTCATCCGAGTAGTTCTTGATGGAGATGACGCGCATGATGTTCGCCGCGTCTTCTGCGTCCGGATCCTGGCAGTATTTGTTCGCCAGTACCAAACACGCGTCCGCTTCGTGTACCTAAAAAGCATCGAGAACATTCATTTCCATTATCGTTCGTTGCTGAAATTTTGTAGTCAATTAATAGATAGGAAAAATGTATATTGGGCAGGACGTTGGTCTCAAAGCGATAGCAAAATAGAGATTGCTCTCTGAGCGTATATACTCGAAAAATAGAATGGAGCAAGGAGAAGTAAAAAATATTAATCAATTAATCAATAAAATCGTTACGACTAATAAAATCGTATTCACTTAAGAGACAAGCAACTATTTAAAACGCATCTCGCGACCGTCGCCACAAAATCAATACAATATATGTGTAAGCTACATAACTAAATCTACAAATCTAATAATTTGTATTCGAAAAATTTTTTCTTCTCACATTAATATATGGATATTTTCAGATTGGTAAAATTATATGATGAATAGAAGACATTATTGGAGATACAATACAGTGTAAAACAGAATATTTCGCGATATAAAGGATATCATGGAAAAATATGCATCTACAATATAAAAGTCATATAAAAGCATTCAATGAGACAACAATGGCTACTTGGTATCGAAGATTCGCACGGAGTTGCTCTAATGGGGTTGTTTACTTCACGGAATGGATAAGGCAAATTGAGTTAATCGAATTCATAAAAATTTAGTATCGAGTTTAAATTTTATCAATTTGCTTCGTCTACACACTAGACTTAATTATATATATATATATATATATATAAATACATATATTATAATATATGTATATAATATATATATACAATATATATATAAATAGACAAACAAAGGGGTTCTATAATTTGTCACAATTTTTAGATACGCTTAATATTGAAATAAAAATAAAATAAAAAAACATTTTAACAATGTAAAATGTTTTTTTGGGATAAAATAAAAACAACGATTGAGTAGCAATATATACATTCTTTTTTTAATCTTTTTCGTGCGCACCTTCGACGCAGTCGCACGATTCAAATAATGATCAAAGTATGAAAGCGAGCCTCTATGACACATTCCTTGGATATGCAAACCTTATATCGATCATCGGGGGAGGAGGTCGTTTCATCTAAGTCTATACGTCTGAATAATGGAGAAGCGCCTCTATCTACATGCTAATCTATCGGCTAACAAGACTTGGCATTAACCTCGATGTGTAAAAAGAAACTATATAAACAGTCAAAGAGAACGTACCGTCCCGTCTTCGTCAGTGCAGGATCGATACACTTAACAGATATCACAATCGATTATCCCATATACATATATATATATATATATATATACATATATGTATATTAGATATTAAAATTCTTGAATAAAAATTATCGTCTGGAAAGTAATCGTCTGGTAAACCAGTCTTTCCACGAGAAAAAACACGGGCACTTACCCACTTGGGTCGACAGCAGGCATGGGTCTATCCGGTGGATGCAACACAACCTTAAAGGGACTTTTCTTACGTAAATGGATATGTATAAATGTCCGTGTGTGTGTACGTGTCTACGTGTCTATGTGGGAGAAATTGACGTTGCTTTCCTCTCGGATTTGCTGCCGGGTATATATAGATAGAAAGAGGGGAAAAACGAAATAGATGGAGTAGATAGACAGATAGATAGATAAATAGATAGATAGATAGATAGATAGATAGACAGAAAACTATTAGATCGGGGCAAGATGTCACCGAGGTGAACCGAATATTGAGTTTTGGTCACGGGGGCTCTGAAGTCTGCATTTCCAATTCTTTTGAAAAAAACCTCGCGGACAATTGATCGAATTCGAAACCAGCAAATCGCAAATTGACGAGACACGAAAGCGGACGACAGCATACGGAGACTCCGGTAAGAGTATCATGTGACATCGTCAATGTATATACGAGCATAAAGGGAACCATACAGGCAACAAACATCCTGGAACAACAGTGTGTTGTTATCGGTACAACGTCAGTTCCCGAACGTCTACCGATCGCCCACGGTAACAGCCGTAACGTCGCTACTGTCATCGATTTTTTTTTCTCCAACACGAATACAAATCATGTAATCCGCTCACATCGCACTGTATAAATATCGTTTCACATCTTTGTAAAATTTATATACATGTACAATACAAGCATACATATGTGCGATGCATGTATATGAATATTTTACATTCTAAACGTACAAAGAATTCACAATTTCGACTAAACATTTTTCTCTTCTGTCCGAATTTATATTACAAGATAAATTTGAGAAAATGTAGAAAAATCTTATAAAAAGCAATGTTGAACAATGAAGAACAATGGTGATAAATTTATACGTATAAAATAACAGAATTAAAATTTTAATTTTTAGAATTATTACGAATAAATCTCAATACGTATGTAATTAATTAAAATAACAATTTCAAATATAATTAACTATGCGACAATAGAATGCTGGTACCGTGCACGTCGAAATATGACGAGCCGACGGGTAACAAGTTGAACATATAGAAAGAAAATAGAGATATAGTAAGAGTAAAGAGGAGAATGGGAGATCCTTATATATGTTATAATCTTTAAAATATTATATACATATTTATAAATATCTATAAATAACAGAAAGTGTTAAGTATATATTATATATATATACGGGTTTATAAGGCGCATATTTTTTGTATCGAGGAGAGAGAAAGGTAGAGGTTAAATTTTTGATCATGGTAACAAACTCACCTTAACCGCCTGAAGGTCATCGGGTTCATGATGGTCCCCTGAAAGACTCCACGGTGGTGAAGTGCCGCTTGAACAGTCCTTCCAGTTCGAGATCAGGCGGTTTTCCTGAACGGATCCGACAAACGATACGATTCTCTTTAAAAATAACATTCACCTCAGCTGTCGACGGGCGCCTTTTTTGCAAGAATATCGTCGAGTAGGGGACCGACAATGGTCGGCGAAGATTTCATTAAGAACGTAAATAAGTAATACAAATTCATCGTCGTCACGTGCTCGCGACCTTTGAGGGAAAACTTACACGTCATATTATGTGTCTTATCGAATTCGTCAAATTTTCATTTTAATCGAACGAATACGCGGTAAAACCGTACACGCGATTGCCCTCAAAGGAACGGGAACGCTAAGGCGTACAATAGTAATAATCTCTAAATAAGTCTCTACTGCACGCTGAGTCGGCTCCATAGCTCATACAGCATACCATGCAGTCGCAGGCGGTTGCTTTCTACGTAAATATAGATAGATACGTATATATATTTTCTTCGGCCGTCCGGTGCTGCATCGCTTTTTTTATATCACGAGATATATTCTTGCAAGTGCTACTTTACGTTCAGAGCGCGGTGAATAGTCCCGGTATACTAAACTCGAATAAAATCATCGAGCTTTACTCGTCAAAAAAGCCTCAATACGTAAATCGATAGAGGGATGGCATTTTTAATCGCACCGCACCGGACGGTTCGACAGTTCGTGAATAAAAGAAGAAAAAGAGCAAAAGAGCGAAAAGAGAGAATAAATCTAAAGAATGTAGCGAACATTATTACGATCCGCAGGCGTATTCGTATACGCACGAATCACTCGCAGATGCGAGATTCTATAAAAAATAATGATGGCAATTATCAACGTGAGACTGCATGACGTGTGACATAAATATATATAAGTATAAGATAATAATATATATGCATATAGAAAAAGAGAAAGATACATAAGTATATATATCGATCGACCATCACGGCGTGTTATACCCAGGAATAACCGTGTAATAACCTAAAGAACTGCAAGGAAACAAGAAGCGCGAGCGGCCACGTGGAGGCATTGATGGAGGGTGGTTGGTTGGTTGGTTGGTGAAGGTTTTCGTGTGTTGGTTTGTTCTAGGTTCAGGGTACCTTGACGCGCTCCAGATCCACGGCATTCATCATGGTGCCCTGAAAAAACTCCACGGTCGTGTAATGCCTCTTCAGGAGACCCTCCAATTCGAGATCCGGCTCTTTCCTGAAAACACCACACCCCTTACGACTATAGCGATCAGACTGCACGGGCGACCGCGCAACGTGGAATGTGATCTTCTCGTTTCCTTTAAGAGTCCGTGATATTGGAACGTCAATGGAAGATCTCTGTTTGTAACTTGAAACGTTGCTGGAATAACCAAGTTTTACGATCGATAAAAGTCGCGGAGCTAATGGAATCTGATCGCTTTGAGTCGCCTGGCGACAGAAAATCTCTCGATCGTCGAAGGGCGACGTATACTTACCACAAAGTCGCCAACATAAAAGTAAAATGTTATTCAATGTAAAAGAAATAATAAAGAAATCAAATGACAATATTTGAGAGGAATATATAAACGATTGTATGTATATTCTACTAAATCTATGCACAAACCTCTATTCCCTGTAAAAATGCGTGTATAATATATAAAATTAAATATGAATAGTTATTATTCATCTGCGTTAATCGCGATAACCCAGATGAATTAGTAATTTTAAAATATGTATGTGTAATCTCGGATGTGAGATAAATTTCATGAAATATATCTCAAGTGAGAGAGAGATAACCCCCGCGTCAAGTTATAACCCTTTCGAAATCATTCGTAATATCAATCAGTTAGCAGTCGCGACCCGATAATGTCGAAAAGATTAAACGACATTTGATATGAGTCGACAGAAATGTCAATTTTACAAAAAAACAACCAATCATACCTATGCAAGAAGACAACTTCTACGTCGACGTCCTCGCGATCCTCGTGTAGGAATCCTTGAGGAAATGCGAGACCGATTCGTAGGTGATGTGGCCACACACGACAATATGTCTGTCACACAACGAACATATTAGATTACGTTCTTATCAGAGCGATGTTGGTGAGTGATACAGGAAAAGAAAGGGAAACTCTCAAGCAACTACCATATACACGCTCTCTATGTAGTATATTAACTCTACAGACCTAATATACAATATATATATATATATATATATATATATATATATATATATATTATATATATAAGTTCTTCTCTTTCCGTTCGCTTCTATTCACTTTAGTTTTTCTCTCTATTGAATAAGCTCTTCGACGAATATATCTCTCAAGGTATATGTATGTGAAGACAGATAAATGATTATAGACAGAAATAGGAAGCGAGGAAAGAGAAGAACGAATGTTGATGCCGATAGGAAATCGAATTATTTTTTTTCTTTTTCTTTTCATGCCATTTAGTCTGCTGCCACAGTGAGATTAAATTTCGAATACTTTGTTAAATTATGTTATTTATAATTAGTTATTTATTTTAATAAATATATACATAATTTTAAAGAAAAAATAAGACATAAATCAATATTATTTTTAATTTGCATTATTCAAGAAAAATTCAATTAATCTTAAAAAAATTGATACTCGACAATCAAGCTTATTTAAAAAAACTTAAACAACATTTTATTCATTAAAATAATAAAGAATAATAAAAGCTATTCAGCACTTGAATAATGCGCCCACAGTTTTATGCGCTTATCTGTTCGTAAAATAAACAATAAATCAATAGGAGCTAAACTTACCACAAAATTGCGCTAGGAATTGGAGTGATTCATTTTAACCATTTAACGTGAACGACTATGCACACACACACACACACGCACACACATACCTATATACATGATAAATTAGTAGCTCTAGGTATACGATGTATATACAGAGGTTAATACTGACAAGTGTCTGGTCAAATACGCACGAGTGCAGGCTCATTCGTGTATTAGTTATTGCGAGATACGTCAAGCACAAACTCTCTTCTACAAGTGTGTAATCTCTACGTGCTGCGTGTATATATATACATATTTTGATATGTGACATATTTTTTTTTCTATTTCTAGAAATGCCACCGTAACAGGTGTAAGACTGGTGGTGCCTAAAGAGAATCAGCAGACTTGCAGAGGAAAGATAGCAGAGTTCGACCGTGATCATTCCATGCTTAATGTCTTCTACCCACGTTGACGTTCGACACCATCGTGAATTCAATTTTGCCTCGTCGTGCGATTCACTTTATCGAGATGCGAACAAAAAGTCTCTTTTTCTCTCTCTCTCATAAAGAGAGACCACGCGACAGGCGCTACTGAATCCGATGTGAGCCCAATGTCCACTGTTAAAATTACTTTCGCTCTAATATACGGACCTGACGCCATGTACGTGTCGAGATGTGAGTGTCGTGGATGTGAAGAGTTGTTTATACAAGTCGTTCATGTGTCAACTGTTACGATAGTGGAGTCAGATTAAAAAGACGCAGGGGTGCGTGTCACGAATCTGTCACAAATCGGATGCGCGCGTCGTTTGAGGAAAATCGAACGCTCGTAGAACCGGATTCTGTGTGGTTTTTTTTTGCCGTAACATGAAATTATTCACGCAAGCATTTCTGTCGGATGTTCCGATATCGGTATACCTTTATGCAGACCATTTAATTTATTAAGCACACGATGCGTTTTTCGGTTAGATAAAATTAATTCATTAAGCCAGTATTCGATGAGCCGCCCCATTGAAAGTTAAAATCAGTATTAATAGAATATTGATGAAATGCTACAGTAATATCCGCTATAATAATATAGTCCGCTATAAGAGACAAAATGATAACGTTAAGCTCCGCGAGATTTATCATATCGTAACAAAGGTCTCCTGTGTGTGAATTACTGTTGTCCATAAATATATTACACGCGTATTCTTTCATCGACCGTGGGCACATGTGATGGTATTAAAAGGTGCTCGAACCATGATGCGATCAGCAGCGTGTTTGTTGTCGTGTAGCTTCCACCTTACGAAAGATCACAGCCATATTTGCGCTAGTTGTGAATGACAGTTAAACCGGAAAAAAAAGATCTGTCGTTCCAGAACTACGTCGTTTCGGCCCACCGAGGATGTCCTCAACCAGAATCCCTGAGCTTATGCATGACCAGCAATCTCTCAATGCACGTGTTACTTAATATAAATATCTTCTTTGCCTTTTTCCCTTTTTAAGATTTACGAATACGCCAAAAAAACCGATCTCATTATTATATATTGCTAAAACATCAAGGTTATTACACTGAAGTGGTACAACATTAGATTATATATGTATGTATATATATATATAATATATGCATTCTCAATATTCAGATAATGCAGGGTACATGCTGGGCGTTAATCTCTTGCACTCGGAGAGAAATACAGCTCGACATATCAAAGCGCGCGGTTCGCTTAACGACAATAAAATCATTCGGCCGTGACATCTCTCTATCGAATAATTAACTCAAGACTCATCGTTACGCGAATTTACAGACCGCATGTTTATTAGTACAACGCACAATTGCTCGCTTGATTCGCAAGTTGTCACGCGTTATACATTTACAGCGAATTAAGTTATCTATATTTCGCCTCAATTTAGATTCCCCCGAGGTTCACGGTCGACGCAATGATCACGATGTTAATTAATTAATGGAAGCGACTAAGCGAACGAAATTGATCCGGATGGATGCGTTTTATTAAAATCCGTTTGAGACTCGCGCGCGATTTATCCACGTGCGTAAAACGTAAAACCGATGAAATGTCTCTTGCGTAACATTTACGACGACGATTGACGTAGCGTCGAGATGGAGAGCTCATAGAAGAGACTCCTCGGTCTATAATATTCGCTCGTTTTGCGTCTCTATTCTTTATGCGTATATGTCAAGCGCGATAAGCCGTATTTGTCCCAAGTGCGATCGGTGTGAACAAACAAGCTAACACCAGTTGCTGGGTGTGGTAAGGTCCGTGATGGCAGACGGGCTGGCTGGTTTATTGAGAGGTTTTTTGCTGATAGGCTAGAGTGAGTTGTTGAGGAATGTTTTTGGGGCACAGCGGCTGCACTAAGGCCGACTGACAACTAGTGCAATGAGCTGGTATGGAATTGCGATTTTGCGATGCTAACACTGATCTCTAATATATATATATATATATAGATTTATAAGAAGGATTCGTCGGATCAGAAAGGATTCTTCTTGATGGAGATTAATGTTTGTACGTGCTTCTATCAGAAGATTGCGTTCATAGGAGACACGGGGTATCGGAAAAGAAAACTATCGTGTACATGTGTGTGTACGTGTGTCAAAAAAAGTGTTACAGAGGCGTGTCAGATATAGATGCTAGAGGGGTAGGAAAGTGAAAGTGGAGATTATATTGTCTTTCGTATAGAAAGAATATCTGGAGAGGATAGATTCAATGGCAATCGGGAGAAGAGAGGGCTCAAATCAAGGAAGCTAATTGGTTGGTTGTGTCTCTCACCTGCGACCTCGCTCGTTCTTCAAAGTGCCGCCATACTTGTTTCGCGTCCCGATCAGGTCAATTATCTCAGGGATACAACTGGCGAATATGGCCTACACCACGTAATAGAACAGAACACAACACTCGCATCAATACACTTGTGTGACAGAATGTTTTGGTAGTAGAATTTGCTTTCGCTTTTTTTCTTTTTTTTTACATGTATCTTGTTCGATCGGTTCTAATTTTCTGTAATATCGTATTTTTCTGATATCGTGTCGTGATATTTTGGGTCATACGCGCTAATTATGTGATAATCGCCTTTTCCTTTTTCGTTCTCGTTAAATGACAAAGGGAAAAAATATTTTTACAATTTTTCGTTCATAAAGACACGATTGTCAAGTGCTGTACCGCTATGTGCGCTACATCTCCGCGAATTAGTGATGTATTGGAAACAAACACGTTCCAGATAAGAGGGCGGGGTAGATAAACTACCTACACACCTAGGCCTAACAACACTACATGTGCCGACACGTCTACCTTGTCTATTAGTAGTTCTACTTATATCCACGCTCTTTCGCAATAGTACAATATTTTTGTAATAATAATCGCATATCGTCCTATCGTCGACAAATGTGATTCAATTAGATGTTCGAAATATCTTTCTTCTGCTTCTATCCTTTCTAAAAATCTCTGTTCCTAATTCTTCCTGTTCTTCTAAACGCATTTATCTCCGTACAAAACACACATATTTACGAAAGAAATTAAGAATTTTATATTACGTGTACCTTAAACATTTCTTGTTTTTGTTATGTATGTGGCATTTGATTAGCAAATTTATTGAAAGTTTGTTTGTACGACAATTCTATTCGAAGGCGAGATTTCGGATATTTTCAATTTGGGATATAAGAGTGCACGCGCACGCGGGAATAGATGTTGAATTTTATAAATAAAGGAAATCCCTTCTACTCCCCCTGGGATATATATCTCAGAGAGAGACGAGAGTTTACTTTTTTGAATAAATCTTTTATTGAATAGAGAAAAATCAAGAAATTGGCAAATATTTCTCAAATATATGACTTTGTTTATAAGAGACTCAAATAGTACAATTATAAATATTACATTCATATAATTCCATTCATATTACAATATGTAATCCATTCTAATAATCAGGCAAGTCAAAATTTGGATTAACATTCAAAGTAGATCATTTAGATATGTAGAGACTTTGTGTTCATCTAAATAAATTCTTATCTATTTAAATAAATTAAATGATTAATAGTTAATTTAGATCCAGTTCTGCCAAATTATAAAATAATTTTTGAAATTTGCGATATATGTATCTCTTTGTTCTTGACAATTTATTCTAATGTATGGATACGAATAAAGGAATAAAAGGCCGAACTCGTATTAAAAGTCTAGTTAGAGAGCTTGTTAGTGCCTGGTTAATGTTAATCACTCGTTCACACTAGCTGACGATACAATGGACACAAGACATAATATATATGCAAGAATATTACATGTATATTTTCAAAGTCTCGAAGAAAAATTTTTATTTACAT